CTCTCGAGTTTGAAAGTACTGCACAGCGTGAAAAAGTTCAGGCGCTGCAAACCTTACGGCAAACTGGTTCAGTTGCCGATTATAAGTCCCAGTTTGATTCACTAGTGTACCAGGTGCGTGTGTTTGATCCATCTGTGGGAGGGATGATGCTGCTGTATCGTTTTATTCTGGGTCTAAAGGAAGAAATCCGCTCAGCTGTGCTGGTCCAGTTACCTGACACTGTTCAGCAGGCTGCTGCAATTGCTTTAGTGCAAGAAAGTGTGTTACTAGACAGTGGACAGAAACCTCTTAAGAAATTGACATACAAAGGGGTTGGCGCTAAAGTGGATACGTCTGTTCCTGTCTCTGAGCCATCGGCCATTCAACTTGAAGGAGCTGAATTATGGAAAGCTAAACAGTTGAAGGAATATAGAAGAGCGAATGGACTCTGTTTTAAATGTGGGGATAAATATTCACCTGATCATCAGTGTGTGATCACTGGTTAATTAAAAGCTATGCAAATCACTGAAGTTATTCCAGATGATCTTTTGAATGCAGTGGCTACCGAAGAAGATTCTGATGCTAAGGAGCAGTATCATATTTCTTTGAATGCGTTATCTGGTGCATCTCGCCATAATGCTATTCGTTTGAGAGCATTGGTTCAGAATAAAGTATTGTTGATGTTGGTGGATTCCGGCAGCTCTCATAGTTTCATTGATCTCAATTTTGCTCAGCTGTTGGGTTTGCAGTTGTGCCCTATTTCCCCTTCCTTGGTTCAGGTAGCTAATGGTGAGTTTCTCTCTTGCCAATATGTGGTTTCTAATTTCACATGGTGGATCCAAGGTCAGACATTCTCTTATGATCTGAAAGTGGTTCAGTCGGGGGGCCATGATGCAATATTGGGGATGAATTGGTTGGCTCAATGGGGTGATATGTCTTGTAACTGGGCAACTAAAACTCTGAAGTTTTTCTATCAAGATCAGTGAATCGCACTGCAGGGTGTTCAAGAGTCTGATTCCCAGACTGAATTATGTGCTATTTCTTACCCTCAAATATTGAAATGGCAGAAGGGTTGTGATATTTGGGCTGCTGTTTTGCTTGAACCTACTGACAATGCAGATTCTCAGTCCATTTCAGAAGTAGTAGCTCCATTACTGTCTGAGTTTGCTGATGTTTTTCAAGAGCCCAAGTGTTTACCTCCTCATCGCACTTTTGATCATGCTATCTTCTTGTACCCTGATGATGCTCCTGTCAACAGTAAACCTTACAGGTATTCTCCTTTACAAAAGGATGAGATTGAATGCCAAGTCAAGGACATGATTGATTCTGGTCTTATTACTCCCAGCATGAGCCCTTTTGCCTCCTCAGTCTTGTTGGTCAAAAAGAAAGATGGGACATGGTGTTTTTGTGTGGATTATCGCAAACTCAACTCTGTCACTATTAAGAGTAAGTTTCCAATGCCGGTGGTTGATGAGTTATTGGATGAGTTAGCGGGCAAACAATACTTCTCTAAACTGGACTTGAGAGCCAGTTATCATCAAATCCGTATGGTGGAACAGGATGAGTTTAAAACCGCTTTCAAAACTCATCATGGGCAGTTTCAATTCAGGGTTATGCCCTTTGGTTTAACAAATGCTCCATCTACATTTCAATGCCTGATGAATTCAGTATTTGCATCTCTTATTCGCAATGTGTATTGGTTTTCATGGATGACATTTTAGTGTACAGCCCTGACTTGGATTCTCACCTACATCATCTGAGACAAGTGTTTATGTTGTTGCGACAACATCAGTTATATGCCAAAATGTCTAAGCGCTCTTTTGCTTGTGCTCAATTAGAGTATTTGGGCCACATAATTTCTGCTAAAGGTGTCAGTACTGATGCTGCCAAAACTGCAGCGATGTTAGCCTGGCCTGTTCCACAAACTGCAACTGAGTTGAGAGGTTTTCTGGGCCTCACAGGTTACTATCACAAATTTGTTCCGAATTACAGCATTATAGCCAAACCTCTCACAGTGTTATTAAAAAAGAAAGCATTCCTCTGGTCAGATGCTGCTCAACAAGCTTTTCAACAGCTCAAACTAGCCATGAGTTCTACCCCGGTGCTAGCATTACCTAATTTCAGTCTTCCCTTTGTTTTGGAGACAGATGCCTGTGCTTATGGAGTTGGTGCTGTGCTCAGCCAGTTGAATCATCCTATTGCTTATTATAGCAAAGCTTTGGGACCAGCTAATCAGAAACTTTCTATCTATGAAAAGGAGTTTTTGGCTATAATGATGGCTGTTGACAAATGGAGATGTTATTTACAGCACTGCCCTTTTACTATTCGCACTGATCACAAAAGTCTATGTCACTTGAATGATCAAGTTCTTGGAACTGATTTGCAACAGAAGGCTATGACTAAATTGATGGGTTTTCAATATACTTTTCAATACCAAAAAGGAGTTGACAATATAGTTGCTGATGCGCTGTCCAGGATGCCTGTTATACCTCATTGTGCTGCACTGTCAGTGGCTTCTCCCCTCTGGCTCCAGGAGGTGTTAAATTCTTATCCAGTGGATCCTGCTGCTCAAACTTTGCTGACCGAATTGGCTGTTCAATCTCCTAATACACAAGGTTTTTCTCTGCATGATGGATTAATCAGACATCATGAACGAGTATGGATTGGAGCTAACACTGGATTACAAACGAAATTGATTAATGCTTTTCATTCTTCTCCTGTTGGGGGTCATTCTGGCTCTACTGCTACCTATCAAAGGATGAAGAAGTTATTTTCTTGGGTAGGTCTGAAATCAGATGTGGCTAACTTTGTTAAGCAGTGTCAGATTTGTCAGCAGGCCAAGTCTGAACACTGCAAGCTCCCTGGCTTGTTAACACCATTACCAATTCCTAAGGAAGCCTGGGTGGACATATCAATGGATTTTATCGAAGGTCTTCCCAAGTCTGATGGATTCACTGTCATTCTTGTGGTAGTGGATAGATTCACTAAGTTTGCCCATTTTATTCCCTTGCGTCATCCATTTACTGCTTCCCAAGTGGCCAATGCAGTTGACAAAACAGTTTTCAAGACACATGGCATCCCTCATTCTATCGTCTCAGATCGGGATAAAATTTTCACCAGCCGATTTTGGAGTGATTTGTTCAAAGTGTGGGACACTACTCTGAGTATGAGCTCCGCTTATCATCCTCAAACGGACGGCCAGACCGAGCGTGTTAATCAATATCTTGAAATGTACTTACGTTGTATTACTCAAGCAACATCAACTAAGTGGAACAAATGGCTGCACTTGGCAGAATACTGGTACAATACCTCTTTTCACACTGCATTGGGTTGTTCTCCTCATCAAGCTTTGTTTGGAGCTGATCCTCATGTCAGTCAAGTGCCAGTACTTCTCTCCTCAGTCCATCAGTCATGATCTTGTTTCTGAACGCAATCAGCTATCTGCTTTCTTACAACAACAACTGCAACGGGCTCAGTTGCGCATGAAGCATCAAGCAGACAAAGGCCGGTCTGAACGATCCTTTGCAGTTGGGGATTATGTGTTTCTGAAGTTGCAGCCATATACTCAATCTTCGGTGGTGAATCGTCCATACCCCAAACTAGCTTTCAAGTTCTTTGGCCCATTTGAAATTCTAGAGAAAATTGGTCAGTCGGCTTATCGGTTACAGTTACCAGACTCAAGTTTGATTCATCCCGTCTTTCATGTCTCTCAGTTGAAAGCACATGTTCCTGATCATACACCGGTCTTTACTTCTCTTCCTCACCCTGTGGTTTTGGATGCCGCTGACGTTTGACCTGAAGAAATACTCGATCGTCGGCTTGTGAAAAAGGGCAATGCAGCACATGTTCAGGTGTTGATTAAGTGGTCTTCTTTACCGGCGCATCAGGCTACCTGGGAGGATTATGAAGTGCTCAAGACCCGCTTTCCATCAGCACCAGCTTGGGGACAAGCTGTTTCTCCGGCGGGCGGTACTGTCACGTCTGTACCACACGCGTGACGAGCTACAACGCCAGGATGACGTTTACAGTAACGTGTCGGATGGGTGTGTGAGCATGTGTGTTGTGTGATTCGGCCAAGCGGCCAGGCTGGCATATATGACCTTTATAAGTAAGGAACCCTGTAATGAGATAAGTGTGAAATGAAGAAAGGAAAAACGAATCTCTCCTCTCAACAACTCTGCTCTGCCCCTTTCTTCCTCGACTCTGTCTCCTCCTCCTCTGTTCTTCACCTCTCCTGCTCTAGTTCTTTCTCTGCTATGATCTAGTAGTGTTACATATAATGACATTTATCTGAATAGATATATTTGCAATGGCACATATCAAATTAACCCTAGATTTTTTTTTTTGAGATAACCACTTATGTACATTGCATGTGAGGTTGGACTAAACCTCTTCCGCCCATCTGCTGCATTGCGTGTCTTGCACGCATGATCCTTAACTCGCATGGATTATTAGTTATGTGTACAAATTATTTTCAAAAAAGAAAAAGTTGTGTACAAATTTGTTCTGAGTTAGACCTACTGCCTACTGGCATCTCAAACCTTAACATTTCCTGCTTTAATGTGGTACAAATTTTTGTTTTGCGCTTTTGTTTTTCACTTATTCCACATTTTTTCTATCGAATTTTGTATGGCTGCTAGCTTGTATAACCCTGAGTGACGGTGTCTGAACAACCATTTTCCTAACTCGTACAAAGCACTTCCTCCGTTTCACAATGTAAGTCATTCTAACATTTCCCACATTCATATTTATGTTAGATTCATTAACATCAATATGAATATGAGAAATGCTAGAAACATTTCCCACATTCATATTTATGTTCTATCTATCTAATTCATTAACATCAATATAAATATGAGAAATGCTAGAATGACTTACGTTGTGAAACGGAGGGAGTATATACACACAAGCCATTCGGAAGGTCCTGCTGAATCCTAAACCATCCGCAAGTACGGAGGAGGGTGTCAAGGCTGAAGGTCATACTCCGACATTAGAAAAAAATCGAGTACTAACAGAAAAGGTTCCAATAAGCACGCTGGATATTGCCCTTCAAAGTTCAAACCAACACTTCAGCATGGTTCTTCTTTCCTTGACCAGAACAAGTGTAGCGAAGAACAAAAACGCATTCAACAACAGGCAATCTGCATAAACTTATACATCATGTTTTCTTTGTTGCCCATTGAGAGGCACTCAGCATATGGTACATCATCCAAATTGCCGGTCAACAAGAAAACAAAACCCTCAACCTCGGCACACGCGACAGTGTCTTTCGTCCTACTATCTTCAAAGAATATATCTTGCACCGGACAAAACTATATCCTTCCACGTATAGGGAGCCTGACATTTATATCCTTCATGTTAGCATTTGATGTTGGTGTTAGTGTTCAGGCAGGCTCGAGACCATATCATGTCAACCAAGATTGGTTGATGTCCCACTCCCAAACAATGCATTGTCTGCTGTTCAAGCTACAACATCCGAAGTGTCAAAACTGATCATCCCAACCAACCAATCCTTGCAGCTCCATGATCCACCCTCTCCAAACGAAAGGACCAAGAAGACGCTGCTGGACAGTCAAAAAAGCTGTCGCATGCGGCACATCCCTTGTGTAATGAGGATGGCCAAGTTAGCGCACCAGGACTTCAGGGGCAGCACCTAGCACTCCAGAGAGAACAAATGGTGGGCACCATGGTGCAAGGAGGCCTTCACCAGTAATCATCATCGTATCCAGACCACCGTGAGCGGGATCCACTTGATCTATTTGACTGCCACGGACGAGGGTTAAAACCCCTATCATACTGTTTGGTGTACCGCTGTTCAGGGGACCTGTGCATCCTCCCTCCCTTGGAGACTCTTTTTGTAGCATTTCTTAAATTCTCTTCGATATCATATTCTTGGCGCTGCAAAAGGAAATCAGGTGAACTTTGTTTTGCAGGAAATTTAAATTAAAAAAACAATGGTCATTTTATAACAAAATGAAACTTCATATTTCTGCCATCAATAAGCACTGTAGCATTGTAGCAAGCACATCCAAATTTTCCAAAATATGGTAGGTATAGGCTTCTCCATTACTAGTATGTACCCAGAGTCTGCTCATAGTGGCATTGCCCATTATTATTATTATTTAGAGAGAATGTGCAGGAGCAGTAAAGATTACAGCATCCACGCATCTAGATGGTGGATCAACCAAAAAGAAAAGGGAAGATATAGAGTAACAGAGCTATATTCTCACAAAGTATCTGGCGACCTAAAAGCATCCTTGCAGAATGTTTAGTTGAGGCTTAAATTTTGCAAATATGTTACCAATGCTATCTTGGAAACTTCCAGGTATGAAAATAATGAATTGGTCGAGATTTGATCCATTGAAAAAATCTACGATGAGTGGCGCATGAAAATATTACTCGGTTACCACTTTTCATAAGCATATTTAATTGTTTTTTTGCTTTACCTTGTCAGAGTCTGAAAGAACATTATAAGCCTCCCCAATTGCTTTAAATAGATGGTCAGCATCTGCATGAACCTCCTTGGCGACATCCCTCCAAAACCCATCATCAGGCTTTTCATTCCTTACTAGCAATTGTGCAGCCTGCAGGTCAAAATAGTGTTACAGATGCTTTCTGTGTGAATCCAACAAGAAATTCTCTGAAACAATGTAAACCTTATCTGGGTGATGCCTCAGTGCAGCCTTCCGGTATGCCTTCTTAATATCTGCTGGAGATGAAGATGGTTCAATTCCCCTGCAAAAGAGGGGGCAGGAGAGAAGAGAAACAACTAATTAAGCTATCTCCACATAATAAGAGATTATTAATTTGCTTCGTCTCATTAAAATATAGATGATTCGCCAATAGTTAGAAAGGGTGACACCCAATTAAAATAAGATCATACAAGTATGCAACATAATATGACATGAGCAGCTGTACTCATCACAATGGAGTTGATGTCCTAAATCATGTGTGTGACTGTGGCTAGATGAAGTAGCAAAGTATTGATTCTCCTATAAAACAGCTGTCTTGTGCTATCGAGAAAATCTAATCCAACACATGCAGCAGTGCTCTTGGCAAGGGGAAAAAGGAATCACTACATTATAGATTCTAGATTAATTTGTTCCACTAGATCAATGAGAACAGTAGGTAAAAAATCAAATGTCAGAGATATGCATTGAAAGCAAATATTAAGGTTGGTTAAAAACCTGGGGGCAAAAACAACACTTTAATAAACAAAAAGAAGGTAAGGTTAATTTAGAAAAAACTTACAAGATTAAATACAAATTCAAGGGAGTATCTCTTTTTGCTTCATCCTCTACAGATAAAAGTCGGGTGCGCGCCTGCTTCAGATCGCTATGCTTGTTCAAAACTTTTGGTGACAATCCAGAGTTATTAGCTTGCTTTTCAATAAGTGATATGAGCTTCCGTAAATCATTAGCAGCTTGTCCATAATCCCTGATCATTTCGTATAAGGTGGCTCTTCTTGAAATTGCCTGAAATTAAGAAGCCATTAATGAAATCCATGCACAACCACATAAGGCTAAAACAGTCCATATATAATAAATGTATCACATATTATGCATATGTAAATGTGTGCAAAATGATAACTGTGTATCATAAAACAAGAGCTACTGCACTTTACCTTCAGATAAGTTGCATCAAGAACCATGGCTAGTGAACAATCTGCTATAGCATCAGTAACTTGACCGAGTGCTTGGTATGAAGCAGCACGATTGCAAAAACAGACAGCTGAAAAGGGGCGTGAATCACTATTACGTGCCAATGCTGCTGAATATTGTTCTACAGCCTCTGAGTATCGACGAGCTTGAAATGCTTCATTCCCAGCAGCCTAAAAAGCAACATGAGCACAAAAAATATTAAGTTATCATTAACAAAAATGAAAGGCTATCTAATCGGTTTCTTGCTCATTCTGTGATGTTGCGTCAAACATAGGAAATAGAGATGCACTCATAGTTACTAATTATCCTGGGAGTCAATAAGTTGTTTATTTCTTGCACATCCTACTCAGTAAAACAGTAGAAGTTGCTAAAGTTGAATAAAAAATGCAGTTCTGACTGCAAGAAAGAAATCATGTATCGATATGATAGACAGCAAAGTACTGTCACTTCAAAAATTATGCAACATTTCCTGCTGAGAAATATCATATTCCTTAAAACCAGAAGGGAAAAGCAATTATAGTTCTGGACAGAGCAAATTTAAATATTAGAACAGACTCAATAAAGAACATAGGTAGATATGACAGGACAAATATCATCAAAGTTCATTTCCCGCAAAATATGTTAAACAAATGGAGCATACCTTATGGGAAAGAAGTTCCCTAATGGTAGTAGACAAAGATGAGAAACATTCCTGAGATGTTCTCCCTTCACTGCAAGAGTAGCCCCATTCAGGAGTTAAATATAACAAGAAAAACTTACAAAGGAAAAAAAAGAAAGAAATGCAACTCATAGGACATGAGAAATTTACCTCTCTTTGACATTTGTCACTTGCTGGTGCTTATTTAGCAACTCGAGAGCATCTTCAAGTTTGCCTGAAAGGAAGTAAGTCTTGCAAATGAGATATGTCCGCCAGAGCCTCCCTGACCATTCCGTAGTTTCAGATGCACTGGAATTCTTTTCAGCTAACACAACTGTTTCCTGGCATAGTTGAATGACTTCTTCATATTTCCGTAGCTGTACAGTGCAACAACCATATTAGTAAGCAGGAAGCACTAAGACATACAATAGTGTAATAGTTCACAAAAAAAACATGGATATAAAACAGCGAACGAGAAGAAATTACAGACCGTCAGTAGCGCCTCTGCTTTCATCTCCATTAGTTTATCTGAGTGTGAACTTATGTGCAATGCATTGGAGATAAATTGTAAAGCAGTTGTTGCTTCGGACACTGTTCTTTTCTTAAGAAGTTCCTCCGATAGCGATATCCAATCCACCACACTCTGAAGTATAGATTAAATGATGTCATTGTATCAACAAGGTATGATGCTATAACAAGCAGAAAAAGAATACTTGTTTTTTCTCGAAAACGCAGGAGAGCTGCATTTCATTTCATTAAGGGGAAGAAAAAACAATACAAAAACACAACACAAAGAAAAAACCAAAGTAGGAGTGCTCGAGCCCTCCTACCAAGACCCACACACACTAGACAACCCGGGGAGCTTAGTTGCCTAGATTAGCCGTCCCACTAAGGAGCTTTTGAAGGTGAGAAGCTCCAGCGACACCCCAAAGATGGCCCTCATTTTCTATCACTTGCAAGACCGTCGCTACTCTAGGATTGGCGTTATTGAAAACGCAGTCGTTGCGGTGCTTCCAAATCTCCCAAGCTACTAAGGTTACCAAGGAGTTAATCCCTTTTCAGCACCTCCTTCGGCCGGTTCTTTGTTGCTTGGCTCCACCACCTCAGAAAGCGGTCGGTAGAGGGTTGAGGCGCAGCCTCGGCTAACCCTAGTCTCAAAAAGATTGCCGTCCAAACTTGGCGAGAAAAAACACAAGAGATCAAAATGTGTTGGATGGATTCTTCCCTTTGATCACAAAGGGGGCAGATCACTGTGTGCTGCAGCCCACGCTTAGCTAGACGATCGGCTGTCCAACACCTATTATTGATGGCCAGCCAAATGAAGAATTTGCACCGGAGGGGAGCCCAACACTTCCAAATACGTTTCCAGGGAGCAAAATGAATCGAACCCAAGAAATAGGCTTCATAAGTTGATTTGCAAGTGTAAACGCCATCTGCAGTAAGCTTCCAAACATGCTGATCCTGGACATCTTGTAGCAGCACCACCTCTTCTACTAGATCCCAAATGGCCAGGTACTCAGCAAGAAGCTGGACCAAAAGCCCCCCTTGGATGTCAGCAACCCAACTTCTATTTGTCAAAGCTTGTGCCACAGAACGTTGCTTTCTTGCTCTTTTAGGGATTAAGGCGAAAAGATTAGGGGCTAGCTCAGCAATCGTCTTTCCTTGCAGCCATCTGTCACTCCAAAACTTGGTATGTTCTCCATTTCCAAGGATAGTTTTGACAGCCACAGCAAAAAGAGAGTGGACATTTTTGGGCACATTGATGGATAAACCGGCCCAAGGCCTAGATGAGTCTGTTTTATGCAGCCAAAGCCATCTCATGCGCAAAGCCCACCCCATCTTTTCGAGATTAAGAATACCAAGTCCCCCTAAAGACAGGGGTCGACACACTCGATCCCAAGAGACCAAGCAGTTTCCTCCATTTGCATTGTCACTCCCTTTCCATAAAAAACCACGGCGCCTCTTGTCAATGGCTTTAAGCACCCATTTAGGAAGATCCAGTGCCATCATTGCATAAATAGGGATGGCTGAAAGAACCGCCCTAACAGCTGTGAGCCGGCCAGCTTTATTCATCAAGGAAGCTTTCCAACCCGGGAGATTGTCCGCTACTTTGTCCACTAAAGGCAGCAGGTCAGCCTTGGTTGGTTTCCGAATTGTAAGAGGAAGCCCAAGATAATTGCAACTCAAGTATATCTTAACAAACCGAGGTAATATCAGGTGCAAACAGATAATTTTGGCAGAATAAGCATTTACTACCAATTCCTTCCATTCTAACAATGACAATGGTTTGCTTACGGACTTTTGGTGTCTGGTACAGAGGATAACGACTGGCATCCCTTGGATATCAATACAAGGCAATGACTAGTACTCCGTGAAAGCACAGTCATCATTCGTCAATAAAATAACTTCCACTACCAGAATAGAATTCCTTTATATTATCATGTGTATTTAGTCCCTATGATATCCTCTTTTATTGGACATAATGGTGCATGTGAAAATGATTAAACAGAAACTGGCCACCATTAAGATGTTAGATGTGCAAACGGGAAAGAGAACCCAATAGTGCGAGCATCAGATTGATCAACAGATTACCAGTGTTCCGCGGTGATGTAAAAGGCTAGATAATAGAGCCTGCTAATACAGTGATATGAACAGAATGATATTGGAAATATAGTAATTGCAACAAAGATCAGAATGTTCATGAAAGCTGTATACTGAATTTCTATAGTAAGACATGATGGGCCGTAGTTGACAGCTCTTCCTAGGATAGTAAAGACAAAGATAAATCTTCGTAGACCATTACTATGTAAAAGTCTACGAAGGTTGATCATCTGAAATCAGTATAATTAGATTTGTCGTGAAAAAACTTCATATATCAGTGGGGGTGGCCCATGTATAAAATGTCATACACTTCATCAAGGGTACCTTTTACAATCCTAATTCAGAATTTTTTTTTCCTAATTTTCATTTCCGGCAAACTGTTTGCTAAGTTGTCCAACTAACTGCCATTAATCGCTCGGTCGGTCCCTGAGGGCAATTTTAGGCCATGACTCAACATGAACACTTAGTTGGTCAACTTAAGATTCTTTGATTAATCATCACGTCCGGAAGAAACACCAGGAACAGATCAGCTGGAAGGGACAGGAAGGCAGAGGAAAGGAAGGGGGAGACAGAAGAGGTTTTGCTGTCATGGCGTCATGACTCATGAAACAACAGGTAAAGGTGGTACTAGTGATTGATGCAAACAAAAAAATGAAGAGAAAGGAAGGAAATGATGAGATAGGCCAATCCAGCTCAGATTTCAGCCCTCAAGCTATGAAGTTCACCACGTCTATACCCATGACACTGACCTCTCTCTTGTTGGCTTTCTCCTCCCAACATCACTGGACAGTGGACACTCCTTAATATCCATATCAGCTTTGTCCTGTTAGTCGGCCAGATCTGGTGACCATGCAAATCGGGGTAGGAGTCCTGTTAGCAAACTGTAGGACTGTATAAGATCCGAAACCAATCTTACGGTCCAAACAGCCACTGGCAAGCTTTGGAGGGTGACAGAGGTGTAGTTGTGTAGAGCGGACTGCGGGAGAAGGCAAGAAGCAGAAACAGAAGCAGCAGCATAACAAAGAAGTCAACTGCAACTGTGCAACAGTGGATGGTAGCACATCGCTTCACGTCCTACTTAGGCTACCTTTCTCTCTGCTACTCTACTTACTCACCATCAGCAGTATAGTATACTTATCAGGAGCTGAAAGCCAAGCCATTACCAGTACCTAGTCAACAAGTTGACCTATTAATGACTATTTGGCAAATTGCCTCCTAGGGACTCAAAATTTACTACTTACTCCCAAGTAACGACTATGGCTGTAGATGGTTATATGAACCACACCACTACTCCCTGTAAAACTATTCTTTGCATGTGTTCCACTAAAAGTCAATTTTTGTGAGGTGTTGATTAAAGTAACTAAGAATAGTTAGGGCTTATTCGGTTCATAGGATTTCCAAATCATAGGAATAGGAAAAGTAAAGGATTAGGACGACACATGCACTCCAATCGTTAGGAATTTTTCCAAGAGCTCTCACCTCATGCTTAGAATCCTATGGAATAAGGTTGTAAGACTACAATCCTTAGGAATTTGGTACTCCCTCCATCCCTAAATATAAGGGATTTTGGTTAGATGTGACACATCCTAGTATGATGAATCTGGACATAAAGCCTGTCCAAATTCATTGTACTAGGATACATCACATCCAACCAAAATCCCTTATATTTAGGGACGGAGGGAGTAGGATCTATTTCTATGAAAAGAATGATGCACATAGAAAAAAATTAGGTTCAATTCCTACAATAATCCTTTGGAAATCTTTTAAACCGAATGAGCCCTTATAGTTCTAAAAAACTTAATAAATAACAAATTAGTAATTATATATTCTTTGAAATTTCCATAAACGAAAAGTAGATAGCAAAAGGAACAAAACACATGGATAGTAATTAACACAAAATAAAGAACTTAAAGTGATCCCTGAGCAGAAATATAGCACACCTGAACTCTTTCAAGACCATCAGAAGCCTCAGCGAGCATTTTTCTGTCAGAACCAGAAGTCTTACTGGACGTTAAACAGGCAGTGTAACTCCTTAATGCATCTTCAAGATCCCCGAGTGCAAGTTGACAGCTGCATCCATATACGGTACCAAGTTAGATAACTAAATCAATGAGTCCCATCACAGAAACGGCTCAATTCCTACAGGAATCCAGAAAAATCCCATGGCCCAGACAAAGTTCTAATGGGCCTGACAGAGTGATAGTCAAAACAGCATGGGTTATACACATGCATAATAAAATTAGCCTACAAATTCCTTAGAATTCCTTAGAAGGTATGAAGGTGGTATCTTCAATCAAAGTAACAAGAGTGAATAACCTCTCCAGAGTAATCCAGTACAACATAAAGGCACATGTTTCAAGGGAAAAACATCAGTGGACTACAGTTCAGTTTCTCCAAAGCATACATTAGTTATATAGTGAATATTTGAATATTCTAATTAAGACAGTACTAATACACCTGGAACATGCAGCTCTGGTTTTACAAGTATGCGCATTACAAAAGTATTTAGATATCTATTGCATCATCTTCCATGATAAAAGCAGTACATTCCACTATGCAGGGTGCTTACCAGAAAAAGAACATATAAGTGCACCTTGTTCAAATGAAGTTCTCAATCATACTAATTGATTTGTTATCACTGAATAAGATATACTATTTCGTTTAAACATTAAAAGAATTAGTTGGGTTGCTGTAGCAACTTCTTACTTTGCAGCTCTAACTTTAGCCTTGAGAAAGGTAGGATCAATTGATGTAGCAATCAAACAATCCTGAAGAGCTTCTCTCATTCTCCCGAGAGACATCCTGGTAGCTGCACGGTTGCTGTAGCAAAGCATCAGTGCACGGGAACAGTATCCAGAAGAATCATGACCGGAAACAGAATTTATTCCACGGGTATAATACTCCTCCGCTGTAGCAAAGTGACCATTTGTGTAGGCTTGATTTCCACTGGCCAAAATAAAATGAAAAGATATGGTATATCAAAATCAAATTTGAATGATCACATAATGCCATGTAAAAAGATATATATGACATGAAAAAGACAACAACAGACAAACAGAATTAAACTGTGTTCATACAAACCTTGTACGCCAGGTTTCACAAGTCTCCAAGGCTGCAGAAGTTGATGCACCTCTTGTTGACTGCTCATCTGCTGAATCCCCTGCTTTATTTTTTTCAGGGGAAAACTGCATGGTCTTTTTGTCTTGTGATGATTTTGGCTGTACATAAGCCTGAGTAACTGAAGGCTTAGGCAGTTGACCAGACTTAGTTCTTACCTTCCTTCTAGTGTTACGTCTTTGTGTTGACACGGAGCTTTGGGGAGATGTAGAAGCACCGAAGGTAAAGTTCAGCCCACTAAAATCTTCTGAGCTTTCTTGGAAAGTGGCATGTTCACCAATCTCGTGCGCTGTTCTGTAGCCATTCTCTTCATAGGCTTGCCCTTGATTGTTGAGCCTATAAGCATCATCCCAAACTTCAGCTGGGGCTGATTTAGGTTTACCATTAGCAGTGTCATGCATATTGGAGGAAGAAGGTTGTGGTGCGATAGGTATAGTTACTTCTTCATCAAAACTAGAAAAGCTGCTAGCAAAGCTGTTCGCAGATGTGTCTACATTGGGAATTCTACCTTCATCTTCGCATGTTGGAAGATCTGCATCAATAACCAAGTGCTCAGTTGCAGAAACTAGATCTTCAGCACAACTGGAGCTCTGGTTTGAGACACCATAATCATGTATATGAACGGACTGATCAGACATCACTGATGCTTCTTTTGCTACCTGTTCAACTGTAGCTGAATAAGGAGAACAATCCATTGGTGAGTAGTCACCTGCTAAATCCATGTCTGGCCCAGTGGTGCATGTTTCTTGAGAAGCAAAGTGATGGGGTTGAGCATGCTGCTTTAACTTGGTGGGCCTTTTATTTTTCCTTGCGTTTTTATGCGCTTCCTTTTTATCTCTATATGCTGATTTTATATAGTCAATACCAAATAAGCTCTCTCTTGAACACCAGGCTGGCTCTTGTCTGACTGCACAAGATTCACCAGGAATAGTATCACTTGCTGTATTTGTAGTTTTGAAACTGAAAGATGGCATATCATTTCCAGAAGTAGAGAAGCTAGATGAATGATTTGAATGTGAAAATGCGCGTGACTCCGGAACATTGGGCTGGGGAATAGCACCAAATACTGGAATGGCTTCTGCTTTACTTCTGAACACAAATTGGGAAGATCCATTCACTTTAGTAGATCCGACTGAAGCCCCTTCCCTATTGATGTTTAATTTCTTGATGTCCTCTTGTAATGCATGTTCTGCATATCCTTCGGAAGGAGGGACGGCATTGCTACCACTACTGAAAACAAAACTACTAGGCCCATAACCTTGATCATTATCTGATCTAGAATGTGTAATGTTTCCAATATCCTCATTAGCCAAGTTCCCTCCATTACCCTTTAGTTCAAAGGATACATTAGTTTGAATGCTTGTGAATGGCATGCTTGCTGCCTGGGCAGAAGAAAAGGTTGTGGCTGCATTAGTTCCAAAACCAGATACTTCTGGTGGCTGGTGAGCAGTTTCATCTTTATTGTTGTTGGATGGGGCTCCATGGCCTAAGTTCAGTTTTGTCATCCTGGCTGGAAGTGTGCTCTCCATGTTACCATGAACTGAGGTAAATGCCTTTGAATTTGCACCAGTGACAAAATTGCCACGATCGTCCATTACCTTTTTTGAAGAGTGTGAGCTCAAGGAAGCATCACTTCCAAATACAAATGCCTCTGATGGATAACCAGAATTATCACTTTGTTTGCACTGTGTAACTCCACCTCCTATATTCAAACATGATGGCAACTCTGGAGGCAAATTATTAACACTACTAGGTGGAACAAAAGCATCACTGTTGGCAGCAGAGGAAAAAACACTGCCCTCATTAGAAGTACTCCCAGAGACAAACGCTTCGGCTTGACGACTACTACCTCCACTTCCCTTCTGCTGAAAGGGAACATCACTTATCTTCTCAGGACACAGACCTGTGCCATCAGTAACATTGAATGTATCAGATGGATTGGTATTAGCACCAGAAGAAACATCATTAGTCCTATCCGCATGGTCACTGGATACGTTCCCTCCAAACACAAAAACTGGTGGTGCATCATTGGTAGATTCAGTGCCCATCCTTCCCAAAGGCGCTTGATTGCCTATACCATATTGTGTCAGCTTCTCTGCAACACCATTTGCATTGGCAGAAGCATATGAACCTGCACGGTGGACATCAGAACTAGTACCATCAGAAGAAGGCCCGCTTCCATTGCCTCCAAACACGAATGTTTTTGGCACGTCATTATCACCCTGCAACGGCACTCTGGTGCCTAAATTCAACTGCGTCAATTTCTCCGGGAGCACATTCACTTCACTGTTGAGAACCAAACCAGGTATATCAACTCCAAAAATGGAGCTCCTATCCTTCTTGTTGGCATTGACGCTACTCTCACCACGAGTCTGAAGATTCATCCTCCCCATTTTCTCGGGCAGCTTCGCCGAAGCCGCCCATCCCTCGTCGAACCGAGGCAAGCTGTCCCTGACGCTCCCGAACACGAAGGGGGCTTCTCCATTGGATGACGCCACTGGAGGCTGCTGACTCGTGGCAGAAGCCGCACCGCCAAACACGAATCCGCCGTCCTGACCCTCCCCGGCGCCAACACCAACGCCACCCGGCGCGATCCCCCCGATCCCATCCTGCCCCGATGCGTCCGTACCGCCGCCGCCCCCTCCGCCGAACGGATTCCACGGCGCCGCAGCGGGTGACGCCGGTGGCGGCTGGCGGGAGCGGGAGGAGGCCGCCGCGTGGCGCCGCTTGGCCAGACGCGGGGCGCGGCGGGAAGGAGGAGGCGGTCCCGCGGCGTGATCGGAGGAGGAGGCGAGGCCGAGCCCCAGGTTGGGGTTGCCCATGGCGGCGGCGGGGAGCGGGGTGCCGCTAGGGTTCTGGCCCGTGGTGGGGTAGGGGGCTGGCGCTGCTACCGCCGGCGTCATCGGCCGGCGGCGGCGGCGGCGGCTGCGGCGGCGTGGGATTGGAGGGGAGGGGAGGGTGTTATGGGTGGGTCCGATTTGGGGGGGAGAAGCGGAGGAGGGAGGAGGAATGGGGTTGCGTGGGGAACGCGGCGAAGGCGATGCGGTGCGGGAGAGAGGAGAGGGGTGGCGGTGCGTGTCGCGCAGTTGGGTTGGGCCTATTCTGTTCTGTGTGTTGGGGATTTTGACCGTTTGGGACGTGTCCGTAAAGCTGTGGACGACGACGATTTTTTTGAATTTGGGTGCGGTGGGGTGGGGTTGCCTGGTTTTTTTTGTTTGTTTGTTTTGTTTTTTTTTCTTGGAGGATGAACAACAATGAACCCGTTTGTTGATTCGTTTTTAAGGCTGTGTTCTTTTTGATAGAGTTCTCAACCCACCGCTCTTATTTTCGATGTGCATGTTTTCTAAAATATTAAACATGTGTTTTAAAAAAATTCTATACGAAATTTGTTTTAAAAATTCATATTAATTTATATTTTAAAAATTAGTAAATACTTAATTAACTATACACTGGTGATTCGCTCTATTTTACGTGTATAGGAATCGTGCCTCAGATAAGATGTTTGGTTTGGTGAGATTTTCTTATGCGGATGTGCACTTCTTTTATATATAATAAACAAGTATGCACAAGAATAAGTTTGGCGAGAAAGAATGCAAATTCAGAAACAGAATTATCTTGAGAGTTCTATATACTAATCATGAGAGAATTTTATATTTGTCCCCAGATGTTAACTGATTCTCTTATTTGCCCTCGCAAACTTGCCTCTCCCTCTATTTGTCCCCAATTCAAAAAAATGTACATGGCTTGCTTGCTGTTAGAAGGCACATGAAAGGATAATTTTGCCCTTGTGATTTTTTTATATGACTTACTAAACCTTGTTGAATAATAATTTGATTTTTTTAATGTAGGGATTAGGACGCATATTAGTATTAGAGGGTCTGTTTAGATCCCACCTTAAAATTTTACACCATATCATATCAAACGTTTGAACACATGCATGAAGTATTAAATATAGGCTAAAAATAACTAATTGCACAGATTGTGACTACTTTATGAGACGAATATTTTAAGCCTAACTGCTCCATGATTTAACAATATGGTGTTATAGGAAACACGTGCTAAGACGTATTAATTAGGCTTAATAAATTCATCTCGCGGTTTACTGACGGATTCTGTAATTAGTTTTTTTATCAGTGCTCGAACACCCCATGCGACACCCTATATAATACCGGATGTGACACGCCAAAACTTTTGACCCCTGTATCTAAAGACCCCATAGTAATCTGACATTGCCTTTTTTTTTCGGGGCATCCATGTCGGATAGGATGAATTGAAAAATAAAAACAGCCACCTGGTCGGAAAGTGGAAAAAAGTGACACATATGTGAGAGAAATTAGTGGAGATCAGGTGGCAAATGGGAAAAAAAATTTTAGGAGGGTGGCATTTGAGAACTAGTTTTCTGAAAGGATGTCAAATAGTAAATTCTCCTTGATGATTTCAAGTAAGGCAATAATGAATGTAAAGTACTAAAATATTTATATTTCTTAATGATTAAGTTTGAAGGAATAATGAATGTAAAGTACTAAAATATTTATATTTCTAAATGATTAAGTTTGTAATAGTTAGTAGTTAGTTAATCACTTGCTAATAAGTTTTACATGAAGCAGAATAGCGCAACTAAACCTCTAGTTCAAATGGACTCTAAGGCTAAGTTCGAATGTAAGGGTTCGAAACTCCCCCTCCCTCACACACGCAAAACCGTAATGACTTACTAGCACGTGATTAATTAAGTATTTACTAAAAATTTGAAAAATAAACTATTATTATTTTTTACACCAACTTTGCTATAGAAATTCTTTTGTAAAACACACATTGTTTAGCAATTTAAGGGTGCGCATGAAAAATGAGGCAACATATCCTATGCACACAGGCCCTCACGTGTACACCAACTAAAAAATGTCACCAAAAAAATCTAGAAAAAATCATACACATACTTTCAATTGTATTACACCTAGGGTTAAAATCATAACGTCAAATTCATTATATTTTAGCCGTAACAAAAAAAACAAAAAAATCAGACAGTTTTAAGGTTGCAATTTTGTCAGAATTTTATCTTTTTTGTTATTCTCTATGTAGAATAAATTTGAAGATGCGACTTTGCACGTAGATGTAATACTATTGAAAGTACATGTATGAATTTTTCTAGAATTTTTTGTGATAATTTTTAGTTAGTGTACACGGTGTGTACACGCGAGGGCCTGTGTGCATAGGATACGCTCCCGAAAAATGAAGGGGCAAAAGTTGGGACCTAAGGCACCCAAATGAACGCACCTAAAGCATCTGTTGAGGGTTGTTAAATACCAAATTAATGACGTCAATACCTACATAAAACCATAAATATAAAACATACAACATAGCGGTAGGATTTATTTCTAACAATTTTCACGAGTGTTGGTGTACATTTGTATGCAGGAGGCAAACACCAAAGTTGATATAAAATATACATTAAGGAGGAGGAGAATCAAACTCAAATCCAAACTTATGGAGTTTTGGACCAAAAACCCAACTGAACACCTCCAAATAGGCCAAACATCCATACTAGTAGAATGAGGGGCCCAAAATGAGTATCCATGCCGAAATCCGGGGCCAACGGAGCTGGCCAGGGGTTCGCCCGAACCCTGACACAGGCCGCTGGCCCAAGCCCAAGTTCGGTTCGGTAGCAAACCGCTTCCCAATGACGGTTATGGTCGTTTTCACCGGTAGAAACCGTTATCAGCTGGACACTTGCCAAGAGGAGAAGGGAGATGCTTTTTGGATGCTTAAGCATCTCCACATTCCCAAGGCACCTCTAGGCCTATAAATACCCCTCCTCTCTCTCATTTACAACACACATGGAGCTGAATTACATGAGCCTCTATTATATCTTTTGTACATTATAAAATAGGTAGAGAGTGAGGGGAAGCTCTGGAGGAGTACCCGAAAGTTTGGCACTCTCTCCAACTTCTACCTTTTCTAGGAGGAATTCTGGAGGAGTACCAGAGCTGTCGGTACACTCTGCTCCGGGTTCGGAGAAACTTCTTCTATTAAGTAAGCATTCAGGATCTTTTTTTATGTTATTTAATTTCTTAGTCTAAGTGAGATAGATTTTCATCTTTACGGGTTCATTGTTTAGTATCCGTACTAAGTGCTCTAGTACTAGGACTTTGGATAAAAAAGGAAGTTCCTGCGCAAGTATTAGAGTAGTAATTAATAACTTAGACGTGGTGTCTAGGTTAGAGATTACCTTTATTTGTTGTGTATCCCACTGATTTGTTAGAGGTAGACGGCAGGTAGTGACAGCCCTGAATTCCGTCCTAGTAATCCTCCACATTTGGATATATCATAGAGTTATAGCCGGAACCATGGTGGCAGACCAACAAGGGTCGATGCCCGAAGTAACAGATAGAAAATTACCTTTACTTAGTGTAGATAATTAAAACACATAGAAAGTCCACTCTAGCCTAGCTAGCCTACCATTAGTTGTTGTTCTTGGATAGTCTTAGCCTTAGGTAGATTACACGCGTTCCCTGAGTTCGGTATCCTTTTGGGGTCACCCGAAAGTGAAGTGCTACAGTGGTATTTCGTGTGTTTGCAAATTTATCTGTGGTCGTAAGAAATACCAATAGCATCCAAAGTAGCCAATGTCGAGCGAATTCAGATGGCTCCACATAGGAACACATTTATCAAACCAAAGGCTTGTTTAGAATCCTAGACATTTATAAGAAACTTTATTACAAATGCCACATGAAATAGTTTGATGTGTTCAATTGCCAAGCTATAAAACCAAAAGCCTTTTTCATCAAAATCCACAAGAAAAAAAGAAAGAAAAGCAAAGCAAAGGAAAGGAGCATCTTTATATTCGAGGAATTTTAAAGTTGGTGCGCATGCTAGGCCATCAATTCAGAACTCGATGAATAAGTTTGTTTTTGGTCCCTCATTTTGACGTAGTTTAAAATTCATCCCTGAACTGCAATACCATATATAACACGTTTCTTAATTTGCAAAACCATGTCAACTTTCGTCCCAAGGCAGTACAGCTCTCAGTTTCGGCTGATGTGGCGCTTTAACTCCGGTTAGCTGTGTTGAGTCAGCATGGGACCCACCACGAGCCTCACATGCCAGTGTCCAACTTTTTTTCCTCCCTTTCCAATCTCTTCCCCATCCTCTCTAGGCCAATGCCAAGCGGCCAAAGGCGGCCCGACTGCGCCGCTTGCACCCCACCACCCATCGTCTCTCTCCGTCGTCGCGTCGTCGCTGTATGAGCGTCTCAACGGTGGTCACATACTTCTTGCCCCCGCGCCATAGCCACCACCATCACCATCAGCTTCTAAATTCACGCAAACGGTGGGGATGGGGTCAAGATTTTGAGAAATGGCACATCAATGCTGAGGAGGACCGGGAAGGAGGAGGAGGGCCCTGGTGGCGGCGACGATGGCTGACGAGGTGGGTAAGGCAAGTGTGCGAGTGAGCACGAGTAAAAGAGGTGGGTAAGGCGTGCATACGAGCGAGCAAGTGAGACACGGCTAGAACCGTCGTTTGTCTCTCCCCTTTCTTCTCTACGTGCGGCCTGTCGCGGCTGACCCACCAGGGCACCACGCCCCATGGCTTTTCCCTCTCCTCCGCAGCGCGCCACAGGCTACAAGAGGTGAGCACGAGGCGACTAGCGCGAGATGGCTCCTCCCTGGCCGCCACCGCTCTTTCTTTCCGCCTTATCGGCTCAAGTGGCCGTGGTGCTCCTGAGACGAGGAGGCGTCTAGCCGACTGCCTGTCGGGCGAGTTACTCCTTGAGAGGTGGCTCTCCCGGATCCCCGCCGACGGTTGGGGCATGCATCTCGTCAGCCTCTAACGGCGATGACCTCAACGAGATCCCCATCCCTTCTCTTCCTCCTCCTCCACCATTGCCCATCTCCACGCTGCAGTGCTTGCTCCCGTGCTGACAACCTGATGTCGCCAATGCCAACGCCCAAGCGAAGAGGTTGGCTAGAGAGGGAGAAAAGGATGTGTCACTGACATGTAGGGCCCATCATTTTTTTTATTTAAACCAAATTCCCTGACATGTGAGTCCTCGATGACACGCCCGCCATGTCAGCCAAACACTGCTCTGGGATCTCGGGTACACTGAGTTTATAAATTGAGAGACACGTTATACTTGAATATTGTGGTTTTGGGATGACTTTCAAACTCCAATGAACTTATTCCGAACTCGACCGATCTGAGCCCAATTAACATCTGACCCAGGAGCGGCCCATAACGGCAGAGAGCCCAAGCCGAAGGCCTCCTCCTCCTCCTCCTCCCCCGTCGCCGACGGTATCGGCGTCACCATGCGGCGTCTCACCTCCGCTCCGCTCCCCTCCCCTCTCCATTTCGAAATGGGCGCGGCGCGAGAGAGGCCGGCTCGCCGCCGCGCCGCTCCCCGCGGCGGCGTCCAGCCGAGTTAGCACCATGTGAGTATCCCCCCCCCCCACCACCACCACCAGTCCCCACGTCTCCTCCCTCCACAGCGCCGCACCACCGTCACGCGGTGATCGCGGTGGGGGCCATCGCTGATTGCTGGAGGCGCCGCGGTCCCGGTATGTCCGGCTTTCAGCATCATCGTATGCCTTAGGGTCGCATGGCGCGCTTTGTCTGGATAGCAGGGACCGGACAGATTCGCTTTCCGCGTGCTTCGCGATAAGGGGATAATAGGTAGTCGAACTGTAGAAGGTTCATTGTACTCTGCACACGTTGGTTGAAATTGTGGGGGTACAGATTGCACGTGAAACTATCATATGCGGGGAGGAATTGAGCTCTGGCTAGCCGAAATCCCGTTACGTCTAGCAAACGAGAAGTTTTACTGTCCTTGCGAAAGTAACTCGAGGTACTAAATTTTACACTAAAAAATATGGTGCCTTACGGTATCTTTTGCAAGGATGGTAAAATTACCCCTAGCAAATACTAGTTGATTTTGGTTAGTTACCAGTTGATCCTTGATTTTAGTGCAGTATGCCTTTATCTTAATTTGACTACCTGCACGCTTGCAGCCTACCATGTGCTTCGTTAGGCAACTATCATTCAAACCGACAAGCCCCACAGCATTTGTGCCGCAAAGGATTTAGTACTGCTGGTTCATGAGTTCGAGGTTGATATGTCAAATATGCTAAGTGGATACAATTATTGTTTATCTGGAGTTCCGCGACCACATACTGCAAGGTGCAGTGCTGATGTGACAAACTACTTTTTCCGTGACCTCATCTGTTGATAACCCAAGATCAAACGCATTTCAAAGCCTTCATGATGCTTGCCTATAGGCATGCTTGATGAGAGGACTCCTTTGGATGTCTGGCGTCACCTTTTAGCTGCTGCTAGAATGGATAAGATGGATTAGACATTCCATTGACTAGTTGAAATGAGGTCCATTACCAATAGTAGTTCTGGCCCCGGGCCTCTCCTTTGGTTTCATGCAATGGACTGCCTTTTGTTCAACAGGTGACACTTTTCATGGTTATTGAATAATTCAAATGAGTATGATACATTGTTGGAGCGTGTTGAAAACATATCGGCGTGCTACTTATATTACTATTTTTAGTTTCTGATTTTTGTCTGTATGGTGCGGAATCTTTCAATCTACCAACTACAACTTATCTAGAAAGTTAAGATTTAATACATAACTAAGGTTAAATACTTTACACTACCCTTGCTGGTTGCTGAAATATACAACACATAAACCAAAAGGTAAGAATTTATAGAATATAAAATTTCATCACTAATATGTTATTCTTTTTTTTGTATACATTTTGATGTTTTACACTATCCAATTGAAAAGGCATGGCAGTATTTCTGCTCAGAATGTTGACATAAGTTACACTCTGATACGAGTTTATGCTTCATAATAAAACTAAGCATGAAACTTGAAGCAGCTTTCTTTAGATGATTTGTCGTTACTAGTTTTATGAACGAGGCTATGGATTTAAAGGTCCTTTTGGGTTATCTAACTATAAGCTTTAGTGTTTACGCTACATTATTGTGAAAAGTGCAAATTATAGTACTACACAATAATATCTTCTGAAAAATGTCAGTTCAGTTCCATGGCAAAGAAGTTGGAAAATTCAAAATAAATTGCATGCCACTAAACCTTCACTTCTACTACCTCCGTACCTAAAAAAGTGTGTTTTTAGCTATGATCCTGGACAGTATTTGTCCCGGTTCATTGCTAAAAATATCACTGTTTCAAGGATGGAGGGAGTAGTACCGTATGATTGAGGAATTGGCTCATTAAAATGAAATAAAACAATCTGAATACTTGAAGGAACATATTAATAAATTATTATTTAAGGACAATTAGACAAATATGGATATCTTCTTGATTTTTGAGATGTCTGCTTTTGGCATGTATTTCTTCTTATTGTTACTTTCATCAAGTTCTGTGCCACTGAAATGAAAGTATTTCCTGTAGTTATAGATGGAATTTGCAATCTAAATGCAGTATCAATAAGAACTTGCAAGGAAAATCACCCAATAAACATGTATAGTTGTACACTAAACAATAGCTATATTAAACTCATATTTGGTATGGATGGTTGAACGGAGTGGATCAATTCGACATCCTCCTATCATCAATGATATTGGCCAGTAATTAATATTTGGATACTTCTGCAATTATACCTTTTGTTCTTTGAAGAAGCCACTCACCATGAATTTTCTTATTGTTTCACTTGATGGGGATGTTAGTTCAGTCAGGTTTTTTTTTTTAAAGAAACTCTTTACTTTCATAAAGTTACTTGTACTTTGAATTTCAGCAAAGTTATCTTCTCCAGTTGATCTTGCTAACTTCCATAGGTGTGTGCTTAGGTGGCAAGTGTGACATGCTAATGCTGATGATGATATCTAGTTGGGTGAAACATTTAAGTTGATTTGGATGACCTTTGAGCCACTCTGTATCACAATTAGGGATGATAAAAGCAGACTAAAGCTAGCTTTCACAAAATATTATTGCCAATTTTGTTAATTACTTGTTAAATTAAATGTGTATCTTGAACACTTCCTGTAAGATAATGACTCTGCAGTCATCACGGTGATAGGCACTTATTATGCTATAGTTTCCTGCTTAACACAAAAACATGTGATCTTTTGCCCATTGGAAATTGAAAATAGGCACAAGTTCTCTACATTCTTGATCTACCTGGTACTGTTTGGCTGATTATTTTCTGTTTTCTGCTGCTTCTCTTCCTCATCAAAGGTGTCTGGACCATTGATTACTCCTTAAACCCCTATTCATAGAGGTTTAAACTTTAGAGATATTAATGATATAATGTGCTGATTGTGTTAATGTCTTATCTGTGACGCATATGCCTTTTTCTACTGTAGACGCATATGCTTTTGCAAATGCTTTATGGGCATGTTTTATTATTTGGTCAACTAATGTATCTCTTTTCATAAGTTGTTTGTCTCTTGACACTTGACAATCATATCTAATCAAATGAATTCATATCCTTGTTGATCATATATTTGTGCATCAAACTTTTATCCTCAACCTTTTAACAAAAGGGGGACCATGTTCATTGGGGAACTTATATTTTTCAAGAATACCTCAAATCTTTTTTATTGTTAGGGCAAGTTATACTTCAGAGAAAACAACAAATATTTGTACTTTGAATCAGTTTCTTACCTCTGCATATATTATGTGCAATCTCACCATACCTCTCATTTTTTATGCACCCTTACAAAGTTTGATTCTGTTTAGCTCAAGAAAATATGGTGTGTTATTATATTGCTTGCCATTTAGCGTCAGAACCTCATTCACTAGTTCTGGTTTCTGGGGACTTTGGATCATCCAAATTATATATTATAAGTTTCATATTAAATTGTGTATTTCTGCATGAAAACGTGATATGTTATTCCTCATGGAACATGCATCATGCTAAATGTGTATACAGGCACCTTTGATGGTCAAATTTATTTGCCAATCATCGCCCCACCCATAGCTGCTTTTTGCTACTGTCGTCAATTCCCACAGCACTCAGCATGAGTTCCTCTTGTTAGTGGTTCAGTTCATCATTGCACAGCTTATCTTTCTGCTGTAAGTACTGCTGGAATTCTCATTTTGCTTGGATTGGTACAATGCTCAAATTATTGCTTCCAAAGAGCTTCATAGAAAATTGGAAGTAAGGCAATGCTGCTCTCCTTTAATCTTCTTGATGAGAATGTTCATGAGTGCACCACTAGTTCACTGCTGATATTCAGTAGTTAGTAAACTGTGTTGCCCATGCTACAGTTAATTGCCTTTTGTAAAAGAAATTTTACCTACAGTTCTGTACAAACTACAAACGTTTGCTCCCAGGAAATAAATATTTACATTAGATACTGTCATGAGGGCAAGGGTAGTGACGCTGATGCCTTTTGAAATATTCTTTGTCCTGGAGCTAAGATGGCCAAGGGGTCATAGGCTTTTTTCCTCTGTTGAAATGTGTCCCACCTTGCACCAAAATGGGACTGCCACTCCTGTTCTGTGGTATAGTTTGGGAGATACTGCTTCACTCCAATACCTGCCTTGTCAGAGAACTCTATTATCCTGTAGTTCAGGTCCAATGTATGTTTGATGTTATGGGGGCCAAGTGCTGAGGATAGGAATGCCACCAGGTAGAAAACTTCCTCATCTGGTATGACTACTGATGTTCTGTTGTCCCATCTGCATGAAATGATTAACAAGAATGGTTATTCACTTAATGATGCATCTCCATGGTATCTGTGATTCAGAGACAAAGCTTGTTACCTGGATTTGTTCACTGGATAGAGTAATATGGGACCATTGTTACTGTCTTTCAGGATTTTCCCAAAGACCTCCTTCGCAAATTTATGGATCATGCTTCTTGGAATGATGATATTAAGCCATGGGTGTGGGACTTCCCACATGCCCTTAGCTCTCAACTTCATCTCAGAAGAGTGTACCCTATCCAAGAACTCTATGTATGTTACATCCGTGTGGAATAAGGAGGAAGGCATATATCTAAGTTGAGACAGCAGTGTGTTGACCTCCTGTAAACATATATACATACAGAATTCAACCACTCAAACTTGACCTCATTTTACTTGGTTTATAAACATCTTTAGTGACATAAGGGTAATGGTTGGCTCACCTGTTCCATGACATCAGCCTCGTCAGGGTTGAAGTTCTTTGTCATCTCAAGGCAGAAGAGCACTTTTCCATCTGATTCAAACTGGCTAGAACGCACTGGGTCCTGCGGATTGAAGGACGACCTCCAGTTGTTCAGGATGCCTGTCCTATTTATGATGACAAAGCCCTCGATGTAGTCAAATGTCTTCTCTGCTGAAATGAGCATTTCCTGGTCTTCGGTGAAGCTTGTGAAATCCAAGTAGAGAACTCGTAGCCACCTTACCTGTCATCCATCTGATTAACTCATGAGTATGCTATTGAAATGCTAATATCATCAAGCTGACATGACTTAATTGTTTCGCTTACCATTTTTGGAGCAGGTTCAAGAGGAATCCTGGCTCTTGTGATGACGCCAAACTGACCTAGGCCACCAAGGGCAGCATGGAAGAGATCAGAGTTTTGTTCAGGTGAGCATGTGATAACATCACCTCTTCCTGCATTTGCCAGTCATTATAGAGAGTTAGTTACATTAAATTGTTCAAATCGTCATGCTATATAGGTCTCTCTCATACCAGTCACAATTTCCAGCTCGTTGACATTGCTGATCTGTGGGCCATGCCGGAAGGTCTGCCCACTGACTCCTGCATTCGACAGTGTGCCTCCAACCGTGAGATGGAGATAGTCCGTCCACGACTTTGGTGCTAAACCATACTTCAGAGTCTCATGCAAAACATTTATCCAGAGTTCTCCTCCTGAAGCATCGACATAGGGTGATACGCCAGGGTTCACCCTCATTGTGTTACTCTGGAGGGATTCCATACTGATGATGATTCCCTCAGCAGCCTGGGACTGCCCATACAGCGAGTGCCCATGTCCACGGGCTGCCACTGTGAGCGTGGAGTGCTCACCCATCAAGAACACATGCCTGATGGTTGTGGCAATGTCAGCCACTGAGCCAGGATGAAGCACCGCAACCGGCGGGAAGCTGGACAGGTTGCCAAAGTCCTGTGCAGCAGCAGACACATCGTGGAAGCTGAAATGGCCATCAAGGGTGAGTTCCTCCAGGGATGATGGCACATCTTGTTTAGGCACATGCATGGTGGTGACACCACCAAGGGCAAGTAACAGGAGCAGCTTCAGATACTGCAAGAGTGATGGCCTCATGGCTCTTCTACGTGTCAAGAATGAACAATATTCTGTGGCAATGTTTTGAGAGGAAGACAAAATGTGCAGGAGGACAGTTGTTCACTGCCAAGAGCAGAGGGATGGGAGTGGAGATGGAGGGAGAGAAGGAGATTTAAAGGAAAACCTTGAAGGGTATGTATGTGGACTGGTGCAGGAAGTGGCGTGGTCAAACCGGTATTGGGCACTGTTTGGTAGACTAGAAACCCATGTGAGGATGTGCTGCTTACAAAATTTGGAAGAATACATGTTTCTTTTGGAGGAAGCTATGTTGCGGTGGTTGATGGCTCTATTTGAGATGCTAATGTTCTTTCTTCCTTGGCTTCTGTTTCAAGCATGGTGCAGCATCTGTCAGTAAGTGATTGGATGCAGGGAAAAAATGATGCATTCGTTTAGTAAACTCAGTCTATCACAGTACATATCTTTCACTACAGCTTGTTCAGAGGAACAGTGACATAGAAGAGATCAAGCAGGTGCAGTGAACAGAGATGGGTTTTGAGCGTGTATCTGGTGTGGATCTCAGAAGGATTGAGATTCTGATGAAGTCATATGTAGGGAAAAAGAAGTGATATCAGGTATTCAAGTGGCAAACCTGGTTGCTCCTGAGCAGGCCTGCTTGATCCCTCAAATTCGATTTCTCATGCAAAAATTCATGTTGGTCTTTGCGAGGATGAGCCAAAGTGCTATCTCTGTGCTTTCATATTTACAAGTGGCAAGCCTCCTCTCAAGCATATCTGATTAAGTTTCTTCCCATATTTCTTTTTCGGATGTTGGGGCCTGTTTTCCAACTGCATGAAGATCAATTTCTTGCAGAACATATAAACAGGTAACAAAGCTTCTGTCTGGCCATTTTTAGACAAGTTGATACATCAATGATATAATTCTTTCTCAATATTTTGTGGTTCAGGAATTTGATATTTTGTGCTAGCTCAATTGTATGGACATGGATCACTTAAATGTTTGTCCCTTTTTAGTGACCAGAAACTTTTGCTTGATAATGTAGAATTCCTTTGCCCACATGCATGCTGTTGCCATCCTAAGGTTTATCCAAAACAACACTGCCATGTTCTCGGGGTAATTTTTTTCCAAGTTGCTGCCTGTTAGAGTCTACCATGGGAATCAACGGATCATTGTGTTCTCGTATCTGATCATATCTGTCTGAAGGCAATGTGAACAGATATGTGAAACAAACTGAATGCTCTGGCATGTCTGCTTTTTACACTTAGGAGCTTAGACAACAGTTTATGCTGCAGTTCTGAAGATATCTGGTAAATCCACAAGCATAGGAAACCTAGGTTGGACAGACTTTGTAAAGCAAAGTGGAAATGAGGGGACCGGGAAAACTAAGTATTTACCTTTTTTAGGGATAAGTTTATGCCTAACTTTTGTCACAGATTGTCCTTGTGTGAATAATTTGATACATGCGCCAGTGAACTTATGTTATATCAGCTGTTTACTTCGATTATTAGCAATCGGGATTCAGGCATGGTGTTTATTTGAGTTTTATAGGTATCATGTGCAAAATTCAAAAACATGTATAATTCTTCCATTTTTGATTACGATGCCGGCTCTGGTATCCTTTTATAATGCACAATATTCAGACTTTTTTTCGTTCTACATAGTGGTTACTTGAATTGGGGGGAGGAAATTAGCAAAGCTAGATCCCCTAAGGTCTGAACAACAAATTGGTAGACTCTTTGCATTACTATCCATTCAGAATTGATGCATTGTACATTTTAAAGGGTACATTTGAATAAACCAAAATGTTGAACACTGCAACAAATAATACCATGTCTACCCGACCTGTCCACCAACCAGAAATTTACAGGAACATCACACTCTGTCAATTATATTTACGTAGTTCTTGGCAAAATAACATCCTGTTCTGACCTTTGACTGCAGAAATGTAGCTGATGCCATGCCTGCATACCACCCATGAGTGGCATACCTAATATCAATATCAAGGAATGACTTCCTGTAGTGCTCTTCTTCCTTGAGAGCACACGCAATAAGCTATCAAAAGAGTATACATCTTTTCCAAGAAAACGAAAGGTAGAGATTTTTTTATCAAACATATCAACACATGACCTATTTGTTGACTTGAAAAGGAGGATTGGTTATACTTTGGGTTTCTTGGTCCTTAAGTGGGAACTGGGATATGCAAACTGACAGCTCCTTTTCTGTTTGTGGTGCAGGGAATGACAGAGAATTGCCACTCTCTAACCCAAGAAATATCACACAAGCCTCAATAGAACCACAGGTATCGTGAAGCAAATCACTCTCAAACATTATTGTTTTTTTTTATTCTGTTCTAATTTTATCTGGTTAGGAAGTGGGAACTGTCGGGTGCTGGAATATTGCTGCTTCTTTTAAGCTCCTTTTTTTTTCTCTGTCACAAAAACTATTTCGTTGAAGTAAATGGATGGTTAAATCGAAATGTGCCCATCTTGACAAAAGGAGCCTAGCACTACCCTCACATGGCCATGGTAGGCTGAGTCCAGAATAGAGATTAGATTCCCCAATCCATGACATGCAATTCGCAAAGGTGACATTGATCCGCATCTGACTGCATGCTTTCAGCTGCTCCTTTGCTGTTTCCTTCCGTGCTGTCGATTATCAGTAGGCTCTGCCCGCAGTCCCCAGCAGGAGTCCCCCACACGGCATGTTAGCCCACCATTGGCCTAGCCTGCCTCTCTATCTGCTGTGACCAGGCCCCTCTGGACGTTGGAACAACACTTTCGGGCCAGATTTCCCAACCAAAGTCACAGCAGAGGGTTTGCAAAACCAATTGGCCACCGAAAACCGCCCCCGAGTGGTTTTGTCAATAGCTGACTAGCTATCTATGAAAATTGGTGAGTTTCAAATAATCATAGTTTGCATGTGTGTGTGTTTTAACTTAGGTGATTTATCTAGCGGTTTTGAAATGCAAACCGGCTCGATAAGGCTGATAACCACACCAAGATAACCGAGCGATTATCGTCATGTTTTGAAACCCTGCAAGTCTGCAACTAAGGCCTTCATTCACAACTCAAAAAATTAACCTGACAAGGGAGTATGGTCTTTATCCTTAAGGCCTTGTTTGGCTAATAGGTTAGGGAAATAATTTCCCACACACCAAAAGGCATCTTTAAATCCTAACCATTCATTCTTCCTATTTCATTTAATTCTAACCCTTCATTTATTTCCCAATCCCAATCTTACACCTCATTTCCCATTATCCAAACATAGCCTAAGTTGTAATCTTCCAAAATCAATTTTGAGTCATATTCTTCTAAAACCAATATCCAGTGCGAAAATAAGCCTAGCATGACCACATCCACATACACCACATATGTGAGTACGTGACACATACAATTGCCCAAGCCCACTTTCCACCAATATCCAGATCAGTGGGCAGGAGAGCTAGTGGACAGTAGGTTGGTTGGAGCCAACAATGCCCACTTCTGGTATATGCCACCTTGGACGCCCAATTGCCCAAGGCTCAGGCTGCTATTCAGCCGTTGATGCCGCGGTCACCAGAGACGTCTACACTACACTTGCACTTCTGCTTTTGCTTGGAATGATTCTGGAGATCGAGATAGATCGAGATAGCTTCTGCCAAAGCCGTGCAGGATGACAGGGCCATTTCTTTTCTTTCTTTCTGAGTTCTGGAATCATGCGGTGCGTGCAGCGGTTGTTTGTCGGGCTATGTTTTGACAGAATTTTTATAGAAAAACTCTCGATTCCTTAATGAACAAGATTGACTTTGAAATGCTGTCACTGGCCTAAATACGTCTGCCTGTCTCTATTGGCCGTTAGCTGCTTGTTGGCCTATAAGCTGCAGTCCGAATTTGAATTCTATAACTTTACCTTTTAGAGTTGATTTTGGTTTTTTTTTTCGTTATTTAGCTTGCCTTTTGGACCTCAATCAAAGAACAGAAGTATAAAAACCTTACCCTAAAGTTATTTTTGATTTGCTTCATTTATTTTTCTTAGCTTATAAGCCGTAGCTCAGACTTCAAAAGTGTTTAGGAATTTGGACTCCAGCTTCTATTGGAGCAATTGTGGTCGCCCCTCGGGCTGTAGCATGCCACACGGAGCCACTGCCTAGGAGCAACATTACGCAAGCAATGGTCTTATCGTGGTTGGGTATTGGTAAAAAAAAACTATCGCAAGTTTTTTGAAATGTAAAATCTTTGCCATTAAGATGCGATTGGGTTAACCTCAAACCATCCCAAAAAAGTCCTGAAGTCATGCAAGGAGGGGAAAAAATAGACCTTAAATCCCAAACAAGTCCTTAAGCTGAGTTCGGGAGTGAGGGTTAGGAACTGTCATCTCAGCACGCAAAATAAAGTGATGGTTATCGCATGATTAATTAAGTATGAACTGTTTTTTAAAAAATAGATTAATATGATTTTTGAAAACAACTTTTGTATATATATATTTTTTAAAAAACACACCGTTTAGCAGTTTAAAAAGTGCGTGCGTATGGAAAGTGAGGGAGAGTGAGGGAGGTGCATTGAAAAGGAAAGAAATGGACTCAGCCTTAGGTCACAGCAACAAGAGGAAGTCCCCAAGTGGAAAGAAAGTTCTAGAAGTGATAAACCACCCTTATCCTTCCAATTTCCAACGTGTAGCTACTAGCTAGTAGTAGCATTTAAGGCTGCGTTCGATAGGATGGGTTGGGGACCTATCTCCTCCGCACGGAAAACGGAATAGTCCATTAGTGCGTGATTAATTAAGTGTTAGCTAATTTTTTTTATAAAAAATAGATTAATTTGATTTTTTAAGTAACTTTCGTATAAAAACTTTTTTAAAAAAACACACCGTTAGTAGTTTGAATTAGTTTGAAGGTTGGGATCCTTCGTGTTCGAACGCAGCCTTTAGCATATTGTTTATGTACATCTTCCTCAGTGCCAAGGGAGTTCATGGTCCCTCAGTCCCAGCCATGCACTGCACCAGGGGCATCGCATCGGCGACCGAAAAGGGGAAGGAATGCTGCCATGGGCGCGATGGTCGCCTGTGGCCCGGCCTTAGAATTGCAGTTAAGTGGACACGGATGGGCCCACACTTTTTCACGTGGCCCACTTGACACATCCTTCGGCTTTTTTGGGGGCGTGGGCCTTTTGGCTTCCGTGTCGGTTCCTGGAAATGGAGGCAGGAGCCCCAAACTTTGGGGGTTTGCACAGCATAGATGCTTTTCAAGTCCTTTTAGAACAGGAGACCCGGTCAGTGAACCAACCCTGTCCACTGCTACGCACTCCCTTCGTCTTAAAATATACTCCCTTCATTTTTTAATATATGACGCTGTTGATTTTTTAATAAATTTTTAGTATTTAAAATTTATCTTAAAATATAATATCTTCATATGCTCTCTTTTATCAACTAATCATAATAATATTGTATTAAATTTTAGTTTGCACCTACTCTAAACCAATCATAACTATTTCCTATTTAATTCTACTAACTTTTTAATCTCCGTGTAAAACCTATTTATATTTTGGGACGAAAAGAATACCGCTTCCACTTTGCAACAGTAAAGCAAACAACGGAAAAGGCAGCACTGCTTCGGCTACAAGACTTAAACCTCGATGTCACGTGCACCCTTTGTGTCTCGATTGGCTAGTTCATCCACTGTGTCCCCTACTTGATCAGTAACATATGTCTATCGTGTAGGGAGTATCTTCTTGCACGCTTCTTTTGTAAAAACAAATGTTGTGCTTTTTGTGGTCTATGCGTGCTGTGGGCTACAGGCCATTGCAGGAATGAATTGGATAAAGATAAAATTTGCCATCCTAAAAAACAGGCTATATTTAAATATTGTGATCTTTGCTAGTGGACACCATCAAAACGTAGCTTTACTTGGAGACATCTAAAATATGAGACATCTAAAATATGGTAATTTGCTAGAGGACGCTGTAGTTATTAAAATACAATATCCACTCAACTTGAAGAGCGGAGAGACTAGGTGGGGGTATAATCCGGTTCAAACTAGATGTATTGCCTCGTTCACACGGATGAGAAGGGCATTCTAGTTATTTTAAAATATTTCTCTTCCATACAATTTGAAAATGATGAAATAACCGACACGGTGTCATCTATTAAATTACCATGTTTTTATTGTGAACTCAGGTAAAGCCATGTTTTGCGCGTGTCCAACAGGAAAGACAATAATTTTTTTATGTGCCTTGGATAAATACGGCGAAATTGAATTGAATGAGTACTTTTGCAAGTCAGATGGTGTTGAGAGAATACTTAAACCATTTAGAAAATAGATGGAAATGGTACCTGTTGCAGCGGTAAATTCAGTTGTATGACTAGTATATTTGCTTTGAAGCTGGCTGGTTCGATTTCATGTGCCTTGTACAATTCACATCTTTTGGAGATAACCCAAAGAATAAAATTAATAATTGAGATTACGCAATTCCAAGGTAAAGTTGCAAGCTCTCCGCATGGAAAATATGGTGGTTTATTAATGCATAATTAATTAAGTATTAAAAAACTTAAAAAATAGAATAATATGATCTTTTAAAGCAACTTTTGTATAGAATTTTTTTTTTAAAAAAAACATCGTTTAGTAGTTTGGGAAGCGTGCGTGTGAAAAATGAGGATGGTGAGTTGGGAAAAGAGGGGGAAGAACATAACCTAAGATGATTTAGCATAAATGCTAGGAATAATTGAGAATACCTGAGATGATGTGTATAACTTTATGAGAGAAGAGACGGTTTGTATCATGGATCGATGATCCAAAGGCTAAGGATGATTGAGATGATGTGGTTTATAAGAGAGGAGAGAATTGGTATTGCCTATACTTATTAGTAGTGTCAAAAAGTACTAATACATGAGTATATTGGATTTGTGCAACCCAAACATTTGCAATTGGTAGTTGGGGCGGCGAACATTAGGGGTTCGTAGGAAAGGTCGGATTGGAAAGCTTAGGTCAAAGGTTCATAGATTAGTGAAATCTTCTGGACTACTTCCTCCGTCCAAAAATATAAGCAGTTTTAGACTTCGATATAGTCTTTGAAATACTATTTTGACCAATAGCATCTATAAAAGTTAGATGTTTTAAATTAAAAGAGTTGCATATTATGATAATTTATTTAATGATAAATCTAGTAATATCAATTTTACATGATTGATCTTTTTAATTTCTATGCTATTAATAGTTAAAGTTAAAAGTGTTTGACTTGGCACTATTCTAAAATGCTTATATTTTGGGATGGATGGAGTACTCCATATGGTATTATGGTTGATGAATTCATGGTGATAGAAGTATGTCCGGTTTAACTCCTGCTCCCTTAACAGGAACGTTCTCAAAATTATCATGTCAATGATGAACTCTCACGTTCCTAGACCGAAAAAACAATGATCCAAAATTCCCAAATGGACAGATAGGCAAATCTTTATTTGACAGGAGCGCACATACGCTCTCCGTTATCTGTCGAATTTGCATCAAATTAAGGTCCACACACAGCAACGGTGCAGCTTTTGATCAGTAGGGATCATTTGCACTGTAGCCACTAGTCAGTGGGATTATTTGGTCGGCCTGCAGATACCATATCTCTCCATCCGTTGGCCGGCTTATCCGTGATCTGGTTGTCGTGTAAAGCTGTGTGCGTGCGAAGAATAATTTGTTGCTTCAAATTCGACAGAGTAATTTGCACTGAAAAATAGAAACCAGTAGTACGGTGGTAAAACCGTGGCGCATGACTTTTCATTTTGGGAGAATAGTCAATGTATCCTTAAAGTTTCGCTCGTTTACCGAAATCGTCATATGAATATACCATATCATCATTCATATATAAAATATATGGTGAATTGTCTAATTTACCCTTATACATATAACAAAAAAAAGAAAAAATAAAAAAAAGTAAGGATGAATTAGATATATATACCATAGGAAAAAAGTACAACGCAGAATATTGTTTCGAGCGCCGCACAACGCTCCCTCCCAGTTTTTCCCTTTTTTACCACCCCATCTTTATTTCGCATCCTACATCTCCTTAGTTCGTTTTTTTACCACCCAGTTCGTTTTTTTTACCACCCCACCATTCGTGTTTCTTTTTTCTCTTTTTTATCTTATCCGTGCTTTATTAAAGGATCCGGTAAAAATATTAACCATCCAGGATTTTCCTTTTTAGTTCCTTCTCTCTAGTTTTTCTGTTTTCATGTTTTAGTAAAATATTTACTATCTAGTTTTTCTTTTCGAGTTTTCTGTTTTTCCAGTGTCTCCCCACTTTTCAAAAGTAACGCCTTTTCAAAATTAACGAATTTACTCCGTGGAGTTTTTCATTTACTCCCAGCCTCCCATATCTGCTTCTTAAAAGTAACAAATTTATCTCGCATGAATGCCCCTTCAAAAGTAATAAATTTACATGCATAAATACCCCACATCATACGACACCATTCCTAGATGGTCGTAAAAGAATTACTACCGGCTTACAACGTAGTAATTCTTTTACCATTGTTATAAATATTGGAGTAAATTGCATTGGTGGTACACAAACTTATTAGGTGGGTGCAATTTAGTACATAAATTTATAAAATACTCGTTTCAGTACACGAACTTGTCTAGTTCGTGTGAACAAGGACCAAAATAACTTGGCAATGTTAATTTTACAAAACTGATGTTGATTAGGATGTGACATGCATACGTGTAGTGAGTATGTATAAGACATGCAATATTTATAATTTTGGTCCCAACTGTCCTTTATCATGGAAATGATGACTTTCGTATATTTCTAACCCTTATATCATTGCTCAGTTTTTTTTAAAACTTTTTTCTACTATCACTATATCCTATTCTATTTTTCATTGAAGAGGTGTATGTCTAATATCAACCTTCTCATATATATGTTTACGTAGTATCCTAACAGCCCTTAAATCAATAAGATTAGCCATGTAGTATCCTTTTCGCCTTCTTCCGCACGCACCAGACAAGTTCATATACCAAAACGAGCATTTTACAAGTTTCGTGCACTGAATTGCACCCACCTGACAAGTTTGTGTACCGTGGTCTGCGAGTAAAACAATTACCACATTCCTCTCGATATAGCCCATGATCTCGTAGCCACTGTGTAGTAATATGTTTACTAATGTGTTCAGTACACGGTATAAGAGTAAAAACTTAGACTTCATGGTCTGCGAGTAAAACAATTACCATATTCCTCTCTATATAGCCCATGATTTCGTAGCAACCATGTAGTAATATGTTTACTGATGTGTTCAATAGAGTAAAAAACTGATACTAAGAATATTGTTAATATGTATCACAAAATGGTCGTACGAATAAAAAAAAATTACAGGCTCAATCACACACAAGTGATAAAAATTACTCATAGGTGAATCAAACTAGAAAAGAAAAAAATTGATTCAGCCAAAATCCATCATAAAACTAGGATCCTGGTGGCTTTGCTAGATCTTGCTATAAGGATGGAGATGCTGGTCTGTATCTTGTGACAGGTAGTGGAGTAGGGCTGTCAACGAGCCGAGCTCGAGCGAGCTCGTCTGCCTAGGCTCAAGCTCGATACAAGCTTGAGCCGAGCTCGAGCCGAGCCTATAAAATATTCGAGCCTTCCGATAGGCTTGGCTCGAGCTCGACTACCGAGCTTGATTTTTAAGTAAAACAATATATATTTCAAAGATAATCTTTAAAAAATAATTAATTTCTAGTTCATCATATTAATAGAAGAGGAAAAAAGAATAAAATAAATATATGATGTCAATAAAAGGCATACAAATAACATATTTGATCTTCTAATTTATTAAATAACAACAAAAAAAATCATATATTATTAGGCTCGTTGGAAGCTCGAGCTCGGCTCGACAAAGCTCGCGAGCTTAGGGAGAGGCTTAGGCTCGGCTCGTCTGGAGCTCGAGCCGAGCTCGAATCGAGCAGCTCGCGAGCCTCGAGTTTTTTTGACAGCCCTATAGTGGAGAGAGCAACCGGGTGGCAAGTGGTAGTCGACGATGGAAACATGGAGGGGTGTAGCGACGTGGTATAGAGATGGGTTCGACGTTGCGCAGTAGCAACCATCCATCATCTAGCAAGCATGAAAAAAATGAAAAAAAAACATTCTCGTTCATGTCATAAGGACGACGAGCAAAAAAAAAAAAGCAAACAACCTCCATCACCAGCGGACTATACCCTATCCTCTGCGGCTAGCAATATGGAGCACGATGTGCAAATGTAGGGCCTGTGCAGCCCATCAATTCAGATCAAGTAATATTGGAGATTGCACGTTAATTTGATTTGCAAAAAGAAATGGCAAAATTTACCACAGGGCATCGAAAAAACGTGTAATTAGCTCGTGGACACCGCAAGAACGAGAATCTGTTGTCGGACATCACAATAAAGTGTAATTAGCTCCAGAACACTCGGGGCCTTATTTTATTATTTCCTGTGAATTTGGAGAGAGAAACATTGGTGAGAGTACGATTTTGCCCCTGCCCTCACACCAGCCAGAGCACCGCCACCACCTCCTCCGTGCGGCGGCCGGCGCGGTGAGTGCGCTGGGGAGAGGGGGAGAAAGGCGAGCCCGCTCTGTGCCGCCCGCTGCCACACCCACGCAGGCCGCCAACGCACGCCGCCGCCGGTGGCGACAGTCGACGCACGCGCGTGCCGCTGCCTTCTCTACCATCTGCGCCGTTGTGCCGGAAGACGAGGAAGACGACAGCGACAAGGATGACAAGAAGGAGGAGGCCGTGGAGCTCGAGATGCTGCACATCGACCACGCGTGGAAGTCCGTGAAGCTGACGAGCTCCGCTGGTGACCACCGCGGGCTGATGCAGGTGGAGCTGCTCCGTTGTTCTTTGGTCGCCGGACATTGTCGTCGGCGTCAGTGTCGTCAATCAACACGTCTGTTAGCTCCACGCCAAAGGGGTCATCGGCGGCGATGAGCCCACGCACGCCGGCTACAGTGCGAAACATCCCGGCGATGGCTGCCGCCGCTCAGACCTGTCACAGGGACAGAACACAAGCGCTGCACATGTTCAGTTCCATCGCCGCCGTTGGCCAACCCAATGCGTCGTCACTGTCCAGGTCGAGACCCAAGGGCAAACTTGTATTTATTTAGTGTTTCTCTCTCTAAATTCACAGGAAATAATAAAATAAGGCCCCGAGTGTCCAGGAGCTAATTACACTTTTTTTATGCCAGATAGCAAATTCTCGTTCTTGCGGTGTCCACGAGCTAATTAAACGTTTTTCCGATACCCTGTAGCAAATTTTGCCAAAAGAAATTGGTGCTTCATGCGTGAAGGTAAAGGAGAGTATGCAGATACAAATCGGAGTGTCATTTCCTTACTTGCTTGTTCTGTCAATGTCACCGACGTGGAGTAGCCGCCGGTTGTTTCTCTTGACCCAGATGAACACCTCCTTGCTGGTTAAGGTGATGTCCGACGTCCGGCGACAAGGCCCGAAGCAGCGCCTTCGCCTCAACCGCCACCGGCCACCGCCGTTAACCGCCACGGTGTCATCGTCCTCCTCCATAGTGTGTCACCGATCTGTGGGCTGGGATGGTGGATCGATTCAGATCCGGGGAAGTTGTTTTTATCGAAGTAAATCATTTACTCCGATAATAGTGGGAGCATGATGACAGGACGTGGGGTGGGATCGGAAGTAGGGAAGTTGTTTTTATTATCGAAGTAAATCGTTTACTCCGATATCAATGGGTGCGGGATGACGGGACATGGGGTGAGGTGGGCCTGGACTAATACATGTTTGGCGCTCGGAATACTAAGGAACGCACTGCGCTCCTAATAGTACTACTCTTTTTTTTTTACCCTTTTGACATATATTTTTTACTCTTACATACACCATAGTTTTTTTCCTTTTCCTATAATATATGTAAGGGTAAATTGGATAACTCATTGTAGATTTTGCATGGGAGGGTGATACCGTTTGTGCGTGTGGCGATTTTGGTAGGTTCAAGAACTATATTAACCCACATGATAAATTTGAAGGACTCGTTTGGACAATATAAAAGCTAAATTAACCCACGAATAGAACTTTAGGGATCATGATAAGTCTCAGGACCACCTTCACATTCTCGGTTCTGTACACAGGTGTACGGGACAAGCATGTGCCACCGGAACTCCATTCGCTTGCGTACTTGCACGGGTAGACGGGTGATCAAGTTTCTGGGCAACGTTACGCGTGACTACTCCTATTCATCTTTGCCTTCACCAACGTGTCAACGGAGAACACTGAAGACAACGAGGTGAACGGAAACGACAACAACACTGGAGACAAGGAGGTAAACGGGAACGACGTCGACGGAGAACACTGGAGAGGAGGTGAACGGGAACGACAACACTGGAGACGTGAACGGAAACGACAACACCAACAGAGACAATACTGCCTCAAACTCCAGCGGCGGAGTGCCATTCTTATGATGCTCCAATTTATCAACTGCACTAATTCATACCCTAATTTATCAATTGCACTAGTTTATATCCTATATGCGTTTATATCCTATATGCGTCATGTTTATTGTCTTAATATTTTAGATTAAAATATGTCAAATTATGACTAAATTTCCAACATGAAACCACATCGATATCAAATATATATGGGCGTATCAAATATATATGGGCAGCTTCACAAATAGGCATACCCTAATATACCCATGTTCAACATATGGGCAAATCCGTATTAAAGGTCCTGTGGGCTGTGGATGTAAAGTGTATTCATCTGTGTCTTCAATGTGCAAGTTTCAGGCTGAAACATACCTTAATCTTGCATCATCATAAATATTGCTGATATTTAGTAGGGGATTTTCGGCATTTCAGTGGTCGAGTGCAACATGAAGATATTTAATATACGACAGCATAATTCAGAGCATAAAAACACATAACACTAGTATAATATGAACTTATAGCAGTGTAAATCACAATACTAAGAACCACACTTCACAAATATCATTGACGCTTTAACCATACTGCCACATGATACAGGCAACTCAAGCGTAGCGGCTGCAAATCACACTACTCTGGGTTTAATCAAGAAGTTAAAATGGCTGGTGCAGCAGCAGAGCCACAGACACAGACTTAAAGGAACAAACGAAAGCCTCTTCAAGTAGAGTATGCTGCAGGCCAGTGGCCAGCGCTGAAACTGGCTCATTATTTGTAGTAACATGAGATAATGAGAGAATAATATGTGGATATGGTATTACTTAAGCTCTTCTGATAGGAGCATCAGAAGGGAGCCATGGTTGCTTAAGAACATCCTCAAGTTCCAAGCTTTGAGCGAAGAGGAACAGACTTATCATGCCCATGGCATCATCATCAAATTTCTGGGATCCTCTCCAATTCCTGAAAGCAAAGCACAATAAGATCAGCCAGAATATAGAACAAAAGATACTGCAAGAAACCAATCTGAAGAGTACAAACATTTTAATCTTCTTGCACCGATCTTTTGGATGTTTCAGGGTCTTGTCCCGGCCCGACGCGGTCAGGGCCAGCGCAGGCTCCTTCCGGACCGGGATTGATCAGAGTTTCAGTTGATTGCTATTCAAAGTCTTCATAGTCGGCCTCATCCAGCATGTCGTCATCGTCATCGTTGAAGGCAGCGACGTCGGCTGGGTAGCGCAGGATCCCACCGATCCCACCAAAGCCACGGCAGAACTGTGATCCTTCCTGCGACTTGTTGGTGACAAACTCCAGGGTGCAGCCATACTGCTGGTAATTCTCCGCGAACCACTCCAGCAGCAACGGCTTGTCGATGACATCAAACTCTCCTGATGTTGCCTCGTCCACAAAGTTGCTCTGATCTGCCTCCTGGTCACTGTTGAGGTACTTGATCACTGTTTCTCCTGTGGCGGTGTTCTTCAGCTCGTATCGCCTGACATCAAGGTTCTCCCACACAATCAGTGTATCCACAGCACCTATCTCGAGCGCCGTTATTGTATCCTGCACACCTAGGACATACTTCCCGGTGTCCTGGCTTATCTCCTCAAAGTACTTGCCGATCAGCTTCTTTTCTTGGACAAACTTGACATCAGACAGCACCTCTGCAGACATCTCAATTGCTTGGTTGAAGCCACTCTCCCCTCCATATGACACATCAAGAGTCTTGATTACCTTTGCTTGCAAGCGTGGATCAAACATCTCAGATTTTCCCAGCTCGGTCTTGAAATCGGCAGAGCCAGCAAGAATAAGCCCAGCGATGTTTGGCTGGTTGGTGGCTGAATTGATGAAGAACTGGGTAGCAAGCTCAGCCGCCTTGCGCAGGTAGTTGTGACGCCTCTCCATGCGCAGGCGGGCAAAGCGGACAGCAGACTGCCCTCCTCGCCCGTGCTTCTTCGGGAGATCGACGCTGAACTTGTAAAGAACCTCCCTGCTGTTGCCACTAAGTGTACCATACAGTGTTCCGTTGCCATCCATGATTATGAAACCAAACTTGTCATCAGACTCCAGAAGCTCATTCAGTGCCTCTGTGTGGAACTTGTTGTCACACAGATACAGCGAAGCGTTAATCGGCCTGAACGGCTCAAAGTCGAAGGTGACCTTCTTCTCTTTGCCGTCATCGGTGACAATGGTCCCAGTATAGAGCACTAATCCATTCACGGGAACTCGACTATACAGCTTCAGCCTCTGTTGGGCAGAAGTTATGGCGGCCAACACGGACTGACGGTTGACTCTGCTCTTGATGTTAGAGGCAGTTCCATACTCATCACCCAGCATCTTGGTGACTCGGGAGACCTGATCACGAGGTGGCATGATAAGCGAAATCATGCTCGTACCGTTGCCCCTGGCAGCATCAAGTGCCTTGATCAATTTCTTGACCTTCCATACTTCAATGTTCTTGTCGGTTTCATGTCCCTCGCCCATCTTGGCTAGTGTTTACAGCTCTCTTCGCCTGAAAGAATAAAGGTATGGCAACTTTATTTTTTTAAGAATTGATTGGTATGAACAAGTTAAAATAAGACTGATACAAATACTTTTAATGAACCAAAACTCATACAGAATGACCTAAATATGAATATATAGTCAGTGTAACATGTAGACGTGCTTAATCATTGAAATATAAATAAGTTCTGGTCATGGTGTATATTAAATGAAACCACACCCATATACAGCAAACCAAAAGAAATCTATGGAGTAACTTAATCAACATTCACACAACACAGCTTTTAGTTCTCACAACGCTACAATGATTATATGCAGCAGACTAGCCATCCGATCCAAAACAGCACAGACATCAGAAACATATGCACTGTGCGTTGTTCCAGTTGGGGCAAACACTCAGATAAGTGAATGTAAAGTATCAGAAATGGAACAATTTTAGAGTGTGGGTCTCTGTTTTAACAAAGTTGTTTTTACCGCCTTCTTGTAAATAAATAAAATAAGGTGCGAACCCTGTAGCTTAGTCCACAGGAGATCAGAAATTGCACTAAGATCACAGTTCACAACAGGAGATCAGAAATTACTGGGCAGGGCATTTTGTTGGATTCAGACATGAGCCTATGACAGAAGGGTGTGTTTAGTTCATGTCAAAATTGGAAGTTTGGTTGAAATTGGAACGATGTGACGGAAAAGTTGAAAGTTTGTGTGTGTAGGAAAGTTTTGATGTGATGGAAAAATTGGAAGTTTGAAGAAAAATTTGGAACTAAACTAGGCCGAAGTAGGACGTAATAGAGAATCTCCATAAAAAAGAGTGTAATTTTTAAGAGGTTTTTACAGACCAGTCAAGAAAACTTCTTGCAAACTGGAATGATATATCATTAACAGATCCATCTTTTTAGCATCGATCTGCATAGAGACAGCACTTACTACTAAATCAATAGAGACTTTGCACCCTATGTTTTATTTGGTCCTTCTGATCCAACAACCCAAGCGAACACTAGCAAGAAGGTACTAACACTAGGATAGTAGCGTTGTCTAAATAAAATACATCCAACAGCGACGAGATGAACCTCATCATACTATTAAAAGAACACAACAATCAAGATTAGACATCTCAAATATCTCTAAATCTATCCACGCCGAAACACACCCGGCACCACCGAACCAAATCGTGAGCCAAGAATTAATATGTTCCACCATCTTAGAGCACACACACAGGAAAAAAAATCCACTGATTTTACAAACTAACCGTGTACCGTGTAGACGCCCAATCCAATCAAGTTGAGAAGAAGAAGAAGAGACACACAGAAACAGATACAGATACAGGAGCTGGAAAGCTGGAAGGAAGCGCCTCAAACATGGAAAGAAATTAGAGCACCCTTGCAATCATCCCGCCATTAGCCACATGCGCACATGATGACACAAAAGTACTCCCCCCTCCCAAAATACAAGTAAAAATAAGATCATATAAGACATTCTACTCAGTACTATTTCTTATAATTTTGTGACGGAGGGAGTAATAGTAGTAGAAGAAGAGGGGAAGAGGCGGCGGCAAGGCAGCCGGGGGTGCGCACCTGCGTGAACGAGCGAGATGGCCGGGCGCCGCGGCGCGGCGAGCGAGAGGTTGCGGTGATGTTCGTGTGCGTCCGCACTGCGTGATTATATTGGTGCCGCTTTGGCTCCGCGAGCTTTAGAAGAGAAGGTTTTGAGCGAGGCAGGGACGGTGGTGGCGGAGATCACGTCGTCCAAGAGAGAGAGAGAGAGAGAGAGAGAGAGAGAAAGGTTGGCACACGTAGCAGCAGGCGGGAGAGCCAGAGTATGTGTGCTGTTCACCAACCCGTGCGGCGTGGGACAAGTGTCCCCGCGTCGCGTCGGTCTCCCGTTGATCGGTTCGGTTCTCCTCCTTCGCGAAGTCGCGCAACGCAACACCTGGCGCAGCGAGGCGTCGGCCACCGAACAACCGTTGCCGTTCGCAGCAGCGAGATATTTTTTTGGGTAGGCACTTTTTTTTTTAACTTTATTAAAATTTGGTAAGGTTGAAAATGACGCCCTCAGATCGGAGTTTTGTCAGGGTGTTACGTTGAATGTGGTTTTGTTATAATGTTATATTCAAACGACTCTATTTTGCTACACTCCTATTTAGACCAATTTTGATTATTTGCAAATGTTTTCCACTGTGATCTGACTTTTTTTTTTGCCCCTATAACTATTTTGTTGACTTACGTGTGACATATCGATCCCAATCCAATTGTCGTCTTCCTCTAGATGCCGCTGTCGCCAAACCTAGATCTCCCCCGCGTGACAGTGCTCCGCCGGTAGCAAGGGACGTGGGGGTTAGGGACTGCACTTCGCCGCCAACCACGCCGGCGCCGCGGCACACCAGGCGCTCAACCTGACCGCGCACCACGGCATCACCCCATTCTCCAATGAGCTCCTCGACGTGGGCGGCGACCTGCTCGCGGCGGAGCTCCTCATTGAGGCGAGAGCGTCAAGAACACCATGGAAGCTGCTGAACCTGGCGCCGACAACATTGACCTCGATGTCTAGCCTCCTAACGCCATCGGCGATGACGGGGCCTTGCGCGGCGACGACCATGCGAGGCCAGCGCGCGCAAGCCGTAGTCAGCTCCACCCTGCAGCATCCAGCCCCTTGAGTAGGCCCTCCACCTCGTCGGGGAGGGAGATCGACGCTGGCCATGGTGGAGCTCGCCATTGAAGAGGGACTTCAAAATCCACCATGGAGTTAAGCCAATTTGAGTGGGATTTACTGGGGGAATTGATGATGAGGATGAGAGGAACCGATTTTTTTCATTCAATTTGGGGCGAGAGCAACCTAGGATGGAGATCAAGAGAAGCATTGTCGCATGATTTCACTGGAGAAAGAAGGATGGTGGCGGGCAGAGGTGGAAGACGCTCCTCCACAACTGAGGCAAGGGCATTTGGGTCAAACCAAATAAGAAAAACAACGGAAAACATTTGCAAATAACCAAAGTTGGTTGAAATGGCAGTGTGGCAGGATGGGGTCGTTTGAAAATAGCATTACAACGAAGCCACATTTGGTGATGGCATTCTGACGAAACCCTAACCCGAAGATAGCTAAATATCAATTTTCTCGATACCGTCGCGTGTCCACGGTCGGCTATGGGTTCACATCCTCCACCAATTAGAGGGGTGATGAATGGCAGAGGCGTGTACAGTAAAATGTAAAATGTGAGGAGCGTGTACAGCTCTACAGGGAAATTATTGTAGAAACATACAATATAAAAAAAAGACACATCAGTGCCTCTTTATTAATACCGGTTTGACAAAACCTGGCACTGTTAGATGGTTTTGAACTAAAAATAAGTTCATGATAAAAACATGCTTCACCTGGCATTGATAATCATTCAATATTGATTGTTCGACGACACATCAGCATCGGGTCTTGCCAATAACCAGCACATAAGAATAACACATCAGTGTTGAATCTTATATTTATAGTGAGATGAATGGACTTTTGGCAGGAAAGTACATCAGCGTCGGGTCTTTAGAATACAGACCCGACACTTATGCCAATGACATCAGTGCCAGGTATTCTAATGACCGGGCACTGATGTCGCTAATCATATTAGTGCTGATTTCAGATATATGAACTTAACCTTTTCGTATGAACTCGGATTACGACAAAGTTTAATGAAAATTGTAGCTCTCGACAAGATCTATGATTTTATAGTTGACAACTTATTCATTTGAGCTATTTTAGATACTCAAATTCAAGATTCAAATCTTGCTTATGAAGACTAAGAAGGAAAATATCCATTTACTAACAAGATAGATTGATGCGTAGGTGAGTTGGTAAGGATAGTTGCATCATGCATGTGAGGAGGATGGTGTCTTGAGTTCAAATCTTTACAGTGGCAAAAATTATATTATATACAACTTGCGAAAATAGATATTAGTGGTTGTGGCTTTATACATACATGAGTAAAGATGGTAGGAGTATTCAAAAATATTTTTTAGCCTAAATTTTGAATTTGGATACTTATTATCACAGATGAACCCATTTCAGTGCTGAGTACAGATAAGCCCATATCAGTGCCGGGTCTAGAGAATACCAGCACACATGAGTCTATCCAGATTCTATCTAGGTGCTTCTAGGCACTGAACAAAGGGAATCATCAGTGCCGAAAGTTTGGTGTCAGGTATATTCACTTCACTATCAAGCATTTCAAGCCAACTGACATTGTCCAAGTGCAGGAAAAGGCAGTAAGCCCCCATCTTACTCAAGACATTCAATAGATTATCCTTACATCGTCCCAAGACTGCTCATGATAATAACAATGGTGCGCACAAACGACAAAGCAAACATCTCAACACATGTAAACCCCCCATCTAGATGAGGTAGAATGGAAACGGAATCAAATGATCGAACGCGAATCTCGCTAAGTTGTGAGTTCCATGATGGCTGTGACGATGTCGCCATTGGCAGCCTTGAGTGCCTTCACCGCCTTGGACCTCGACACGGTGGCCTGGGTCATCACCAGCTCGATGTCCTTCGGCTCGACACCAGTCTCGTCGACGGCCTCATCATCTTCCTGGGCTGCTGTCGACGCCTCCGGCTTCGAGAGCATGCTGCTCAGATCCGGCGCCTTGAACTGCTCTGCAGCCTGGGTCTGCAGCTGCGAGCTCAGGTCCTCGATCTTGGCCTCGCCAAAAATGACATAGGTGTCGGATGTAGGGCTCTTGAAGACATCCGGTTTGGAGATGACAAAAAGGATCTGAAATGGGGCAAAAGAAATAGCAAACATCAACAGGAATCCAACTAATAGAACTATTTAGATTGGCTAGATAAGAGCAGTCGTAAGCTCACATTCTTGCTCTTCTTGACAGTAACACGGCTCACACCAGTGATAGACTTCATGCCAAGCTTCACCATGGCCTTCCTGCTTTTTTTCTCACTACGACTCTGCTTAGATCTTCCACTTGCATCACCTCCTGGTAAAAAGGAGAGTATTGTGTTTAGAAACAAGTCAGTTCAGGCTCCACTGCAGTTTGAACTAAAAAGCTACAATCGATCATTTGGAAAAAAGCTAAAAAGCATCATCTCCTTTTGAAGAATTACTAAACAGGAAAAATATATTACAGGATGAGGATCAGAATATCAGAACATACATTACAGTATTAGGATTAGAATTACCAAAAAGATCAGCACTTGCAAGACTAAGTTACAATTTGGTAAAAATTCTCCCCGCAATATGGAGCTCACATCTATGTGAACCAAGTAGTGACAATGTTTAGCTGTTCTATGAACAATGTTGTCTTAATAGCAAAATGTGTGCAGTGAGCCTGAAATGAACTTCACAGAGCTGGGATTCAGAATCCAACTAATTAAACAAGAATTGCATACTATGTGTACAATAAATATGCCGCAGCTGAATCATTTCTTAAAATTAACGCTAGCCAAAGACACATTTGAATCGAGTAAAGTTTCACATACCCTCCGCATCATCGTCATCTTTGTCATCCTCGTCGTCATCATCTTCATCGTCATCGTCATCTTCAACAACGACTGGCTCATCTCCCTGAAAGAAATGGAGAAAAAAAATAATTGGTTTCACTCGTACAGCGCACATCACATAATTGGGCCAAATTCTACTTTCTTCCATCGATTAGCTGGGTATAACTCACAGACTCTACTTGACCATTGTAAAGAAGAAGAAGAAAAACACAACGCGGCGCGGGAAGCAACGCACAGTAAAGAACACAGAGCGATCCAATCTCACCACGCAAACTCTACGGGATAAATCCACCAGCCTAAACCAACTCTGCAGCAACTGCAGCCGAATCCTATCACCACGCACTCAGATCCTATCAAGCACAGAGAATGAATCTAACAGGAGCAAAGCCTTCACCGCCCAACGCCCCCCGACCAGGCATAGAAACTAGACTTCCGAGCAGCCGACCAAGATCTCTCACCTCGTTGAGCTTCTGCTCCTCGATCTGGGCGCGGAGCTCCTCCTCCTGCTTCCCGATCTCGGCCGCCGTCATGGTTGGGAGGGGAAGAGAAGGTGGAGGAGGTGGCGGCGCAGACGAGCAAGGGAAAAACCCTAGAGCAGCGAATGGAGTTGCCGGCGTCGGCTGGGCAACCTGATTTTTATACCTGAGATGGGTTAATGGGCCTTAGTGTGGCCCGCTAATTTCCAGGCCCATCTGATGCCACTCGACCCATGAAAACCAACCTGGACTAATTAATTAGGCTTAGGTTGGATGGGCTTCATCCACGTAAATGGCGAAAAGGAATAAGTTCACTTGCCGTTCCTCATCTTTATATTGAGTTTAATTAACATCCCTAAACCGCAATACCATAAATTTTCACTTCTCATCTTGGAAAAATTGTTCAAGTCAGCTCGATATTATGGAGGGCTGGTTTCGTTGATGTGGCATCCTAGTCAGTAAAAATAAAAATAAAATACATGTTGGTACCAAATATGAATGGCCACCTCACCTTCTTCATCTACTTCTTCTCCCCTCTCTTCTCTTCCCCTCGTGTCCTCCACACTAGCGAGCTATGCCTAGATTGCCACTTCGGTGATGCCATCTCTACCATGTCTCTATTTTCTCACAGGCCCTGCTACCCTGACCTTCTCCGTGCACAAGGCACAGCGCACCGGCGTCTTGAGCCAGGAACCGGCATGTGGCGTCCGACGATACGAAGACACCAAGCACGTACACTACCTTCTCGCGTAAAGCCGATAGGGTCTCCCTGGAATCGAGCATCGTGGGCATGGTGCACACAGCTACTATCGCGGAGGACAGCGAGCCGAAGACTGACATGGAGAGGGGCGACGGTCGTGGCGTGGGCATTTGGCGAAGCGAAATTGAGGGTACATGATGCGATGGCGAGCAAGCGTTGACGAGAGATAGAATAAGGTCGTTGTGCTATAGGGAACTTGGTGGCAATGGCGGCTTGGTGGATTGGGGACGGGAGTGATGGAACTGTTGTGGGTCAAAGAGGTGAGAGCGATGGCAGTGGTGGTGCGACGGCGATGATTGTCCTCCTCTAACCACCGTGGCGTGGACACGTCGTCGATGGAGTCGAGTAGCCATGGTAGAACCGACAGCCACGGGCGTAGCTCACGGTGAAGCACATCGACTACAAGGCGGCGAGGGTGGGCCCCGTCCATGTCAGCATGCGCGTCGTGGTCGGTGAAGCTATCGCTAGGGCTCCGATCGTCACGCTCGACTCGACATGGCAGTTGGGGGTGATGGCCACTGCCACCATGAAACTCTAGAGCCGCCCACATAACCGTCGTCATGTCGTGGAGTTCCGACGCCCACGCCGTGGCCGTTGCCCTTCTCCGAAACACCAATGTCCGTGGCCTCAGCGCCCCCCTCCCTCTCCGAAACTCCAGCAGTCCCTTGCCACCCCGTTGTGTTGCAAGGTGAGGTTTGGTAAAAGGAAACGTAGAGGAAGAAGGAGGTGTGTGGGCCCCACATTTTTTTATTTATGCTGATTAGGATGCCACACCAGTGAATCCAAACATCTATACTACCATAGGACCTGACTTGAATGGTTTTGCTAATATGGGGAGGGGGAGATTTTTGATATTGCGATTTAGTGATATCAATTAAACTCAACATAAAGACGAGGAACAACAAGTTGACTTCCATGGCGAAAACGCTTTATCATCCTAATTACTTGCCTAAGACTTGAACTTTAGGATAGATATTGATGCCTAAGAAAGTCTCACTAGTTGTGATTAGCCATCAAAAGCAATCACTAGTGGAGCGACATGATCACAAAGATTAACAACCAGATATTATTTAAAAAAAAACATGCACACACATCCTAACTAAATCGGCTTCCTTTTAAAAACTCCAACCTATCACAAACAATTTATGAAGCAATTCAAGTCAAAGGTTCAAGAAAATTAGAATATTTAGCTCGTACACACACGTGGATGACATTGTTAACATAGAGACCAACTCAAGTCAAAATCACCACTAGATGTATCAACAAATATTTTTTTAAAAAATTAATTGTCAAGAGGCTCACATTTTTTTTTTACTTGAAGTATTGCATACACATGTAAAACTAGCATGTTGGGATCTTAGATGCACAAAAATAATACAAGAGTTCATGTAATGATATATGTTGCGTTCCCCGGCATGCAAAGCGAAGCTCGTATTATTGCATGATTAATTAAGTATTAAATATTTTTTAAAAAATGGATTAATATGATTTTTTAAGACAACTTTCATATAGAAAGTTTTGCATAAATCATACTCCCTCAATACTCACAAAGGAAGTCGTTTAGGACAGCGACACGCTCTCCAAAACACAACTTTGACTTCTTGTTTCTATAAAATTATTTATTGAAAAGTGATATATGTATATTTTTATGAAAATATTTTTTAAGACAAATCTATTCATATAATTTTTATATTTTTAAACTCAACAACTTGAGAGTTATTTGTGATTTATATTTCTAAGGTTTGACTTAAATATTGTCCTAAATAACTTCCTTTATGAGTACGGAGGGAGTATCATTTAGCAGTTTGAAAAGCGTGCACGCGAAAAACGAGAGAGGTGGGTTGGGAAAATGGGAGGAAGAACACAACCATACTTGTGCTCTAATTAAGCTTAATAATCTTCGTTTAGTTGAAGATAACTCAAATACTTGTAATTTATAACATTTGAATCCAATTGCAAATTCTTGTTGGCATCACCAGATGCACTCATAAAGACAAAAGTAACGTTGATGGAACAACCTAGAGTTTCACATCTAGCGAGTAGCGACCCTTTAGATGTAGAAGGCTAGTGGATCAGTAAATGGTGAAACCTCATATATAACATAGAATAAATTTCCTTTTTATAGTGCATTAGCATATATCTAAGTAGAATGAAATCATATGCACCATTTTGGTCATTCGAGTCCAGTAAGAAAATTTAAGATACATCATAGAGACTAATTATAGAGATTAAATACCTACTCATACACTTGTCGCTTGTTGGACAAATTAGTCCCTTAAACCATGTTATCATTCAATCCTTTAAGTCCCACTTAAAGGTCTAGATGCACTTTCACTCTTAACCATATTGTCTCCGTTGTTAGCCCCGAGCTCCGCTAGCGGTGCTACAACTCTCCTTGCCGAGCTCCGAAAAGACAACAGAGGGGAGGAGTTTGTTGGGGGCGAAGGGAGGGAGAGCAGATGCTGATGGTGGAGGGAGGAAGACCACCAGTAGCTCTGTGTCTCTGACTCGTCGACCTAATTAAGGAAGAAAGGGGAAAGAGATGGAGAGGAAGAAGAGCGTTGTTGGACTAATATGTGGGACCCTCTCTATCCCTATGCTAACTTGGACTCCTTGTACCGGTGGCATCTGACATGGTGTCTAACCGTACCAAACCAATCTAAAACTGCTTAGGGGTAAAGTGTCCGATATTGATAATTTATGAGTGAAAATAATTGGTTTTGAAATAGACAAAAAAAAACAAGGGGGAAGCACCGGTGATATGGTGGAGTCATGTAAATGGTTCAAATCCAGATACCCACGAATATTACTCACATGAATATGGAATTTCAAATAGTAATTTAGTGAGATGAGGGATTTGCCGCTGCTTTCCGTCTCTTAGACCACGTGTTAGAGGGCGGCACATTCGTAGAATGTGTGTGTGGTGTTGCGTTAGGGCTGTCAACGAGCCGAGCTCGAGCGAGCTCGCCTGCATAGGCTTGAGCTCGATACAAGCTCAAGCCGAGCTCGAGCCGAGCCTATAAAATATTCGAGCTTTCAAACAGGCTCGGTTCGAGCTCGATCAAGCTCGAGCTCGACTACCGAGCTTGATTTTTAATTAGAACAATGTATATTTCAAGAATAATCTTTTAAAAAATAATTAATTTCCGGTTCATCATATTAATAAAAGAGGAAAAAGAATAAAATAAATATATGATGATAATACAAGGCATACAACTGACATATTTGATCTCCTAATTTATTAAATAACAACAAAAAAAGTCATATATTATTAGGTTCGTTAGAAGCTCGAGCTCGGCTCGACAAAGCTCGCGAGCTTTGGAATAGGCTCGGGCTCGGCTCGTTTGAAGCTCGAGCCGAGCTCGAATCGAGCCTAGGACGAGTCGAGCTCGAGCAGCTCGTGAGCCTCGAGCTTTTTTGACAGCCCTATGTTGCGTGTGTAGTATTGTGTGCTAGATGTGTAATCGAAAAAGAAGAAATAGATTAAAACAAGAGTTGGGGAGACTATGTATAAAAAATGGCCGTTCTTGAGGCTAGTGACAAAGAAAACCCCCGCATTTCTTTGTTAACTTGGGGTAAGTTTGGTAATGGAAGTTGGGAACTCTCTTCAAACAAAAAAAAATAGAACGATTTATTATCATGTGATTAATTTAAGTATTAACTATTCTTTTAAAAAATAAATCAATATAATTTTAAAGCAACTTTCATGTAATTACTATTTTCTTTACAATTACACACTATTTAGCAAGGAAATGTGTGCCTGAAAAAGGAAAGCTAGAAAAGAACTCAGGTCCTATTAGATCCCACGCAAAGACTTTTCACCGTGTTACATCGAATGTTTGGACACATACATAACATATTAAAGATAGACTGGAAAAAACTAATTACACAGATTGTGTGTAAATTGCAAGACAAATTTTTTAAGCCTAATTGCTTCATGATTTGACAATGTGGTGCTACAGTAAACATTTGTTAATAACGGATTAATTAGGCTTAATAAATTCGTCTCGCAATTTACATGCGAAATTTTTAATTTATTTTATCATTAAACTATATTTAATAATTCAAATGTGTTTGCATGACACGGCAAAACTTTTCACCCATGCATTATAAACACACACCTCAGCCTTTGGATGAGAACCCCGTTCCGTTTTCCTCCGGTACGCGCACGGCCCCACCATTACACCACAGCTGTCAGCCAGTCACCACCACCCCGTGCGCCGCTGCTGCTGCTGCGCGGCGCGGTTTAACTCCACCTCCATTTATTTCCTCTCTCTCTCTACTCTCTCCTCTCTCCCGCAGCGAAGAAGCGAAGCAACCAAGCAAGCAGCCGCCGCCGCCGACCGAAGCAGCGCGAGCTCCGAGCCACCCCCAAAACCCTAGCCAATGGGGGTGGCCGATGCGTGAGGGCGGCGGGGGGGAAGAATGGGGAAGGCGGTGGCGGGCCAGCGGCGGGAGCAGCCGGAGGCAGCAGGCGGCGGACGAGGAGGAGGCGGAGACGGAGGAGGAGGTGGAGGGTGCCGCGGGGGGGCCGTGCGGCCGCAATGCGTGGCCGCGCTGCTGCTGGGCGCGGCCATGGCGCTCTCCGCGCTGTTCCTGCTCAAGCCCTTCGCCGCCCACCGCGCCCGCGCGGGGGCGCCGCCGCCGCCGGGGCCTCCCGGCGACGCGTTCGCGGGTGAGCTAGCCTCGCCGAGATCTCGGTCTCGGCGGCCTCTTGCTTTGGTTTTCTTTTCTGCAAATAAATTAATACATAAATAAACAGTTCGGTTTCGTCGTACGGACGCTATGAGTATTAGATAGTGATTTTGGGAGTAGTTCGTTTACATTTGAGCCTATTTCGTTTGCACGAATTTGCGTGGCGCGTACGATCTGTAGCAAATGTTGCGCCTTATAGTGGAAACCGGAATCGAATTCGATGTATAGTGTCAATCATAGAGCAAGTTGGGCATTTCCTTACGCTTGATAACCTTCTTTTCTTTTTCAACCATATGCTGTTTGCCTGGCAACTTTGGAGACATATGGACGGTTTGGGCCGCATAGTGTCATAGTCACATGTTTGTGCTGTTTATCAATGTGTCATGTTAGCCTTTCTGAGGAAGTTGCCTCTTAGATTTTTCCAACCCCACTTTTTTTTTTTTTTTGGACTTGTAGATTCTTGCTACAGAACAGGATAGGAAATGCTGGGCCAACCTTTCTTTGTGCCAATTGTGGAAAATGTTATATTCCTGAATGGCTTGTTGAGTTGCCATACCTAGTTCAGCTAGTATGCTCTCGTGCGTGTGGTGCTGGGTGGGTGATCTTACATGGATGATAGATTGCCTATTTGTGCAGCATATTCCATTGCTAGCCTTGGTGGTTCTCTAGTCATGGACTTTAATTTGTGTGTGCTGTTGGTGTTGATTTATAGACTTTTCTGTTTCCTGAAGTGCTCAATTTGTTAATAAATTGTACGTTCAACTGTTCATGTTCAACTATGGAGTATCAAGCTTTGTTTTATTCCATTTCCATTGGAATATGACAATGATAAAATGCAAAAAAGAAAAACTGAAAAAAAAAAGGTGTCATCTTGTCAGATACTCAAATGATGATGTATTGATGCCAGATGCTCTCAACATAGTGAATTTTTCCATAAAAGAAAATGCATTTTTGCAATAGGTGACATTAAATAACATGACAAAAAATATCACGCAAGAAATAAGGTGGATTGATAACCTAGAAGACCTTGACAAAAGTTGCCGCATAAAAAGGTAATGAATAATGAGTTATCAAATGGTGATGTTAAATGGTCTTGAGAGAAACTGCTGTGTAGACACAATATTGCTTTATTAAAACGTGATGCTAGAAGACCCCAACAATAATCTTTAGGATAGATGAGGTTTTGGTTTATTCGAAGGAGCCGACAAAACTTGCCGCAATAGAGAAGCGATCAATTTATTGAGTGCTGAAGTTAGAAAATCACAACAAAAATTTGCTGCAGTAGAAAGAGGTACCCGATCAAATTATAAAATAGTCATGTTAGAAGATGTCGACAAGAAAAGCTTTCAAAAGAGAAAACATACTTTAAATGATGATAATTATGCAACTCATGCATACAGCTTTGCGAGTGCAAGATAAACTGCACCATGCAAAAAAAAGGTGAGTTGGATCTGGCAGGGCATGTGGGAATAAAGCAGGAAGTGAGATGAAATATTCAGGAATGATAATGTTGAATGTAAAATATCATCTGGACGTAAATGTCCCTGCTGAATAGTTGATATGCAAACAATTTGCATAGTCTCTGTTGCATATAGGATGGTGTTCATGCATTTGACTTGATCAGGAGACCACATTTTGAATTATAAGTATGATCAACAATTTTGAACACCCATGTCCTTTCAATGAGGTAGTACTTAGGTCTTCCACTTTTACAGTTAGCTTATGAATTAGTTCTTCAAATATTTATTTCAGTAGTTTACTTGTGAAATATACTTTTCCAACTACTCCTTTTTTCTGCTTTTAGCATGAGCCCTCTAAATTTGCAGCAAGATAACAGAATACAGCCATTAAAATCAGATCAATATTTCATATGCTATGAGAACTCACTCTGATCTAAATAGCATTATCTATGTGTTTTCAGTTGGAAATTTTAGATGGAAATTTTCACTGCAGTACTCTTACTGGTTCTTTTAACAGCTGACATAGTGGCGAGCTTTATGCTACAGAAGACAGTTTCTGAGTTGAGTGGAAGTACTTCTAAGCTTGAATTTGACATCTACGGGGAAATTGGCATTCCTAACTCTACTGTAAGACAGAGATTCTGCACCTTATTCACATGTTTCTTGTCATGTACAGTTTGTCCTATGTTGTATCAGACTGATTTGTAAATGACCATGCAGGTGGCTGTAAATTTCCTACAACCAATAGGTGCACCAAACTGGACAAATGTCATTTTCAGCATTGTGCCTTATCCAAAATACTCAAGTATATCTTCCATGTACTTGAGCATTCTTAGGGCTTCTTTTATGTCCCTGGTTGTAGAGCAGTCAACACTCCACTTGACAGAGTCTCTGTTTGGGGACACATCGTTATTCGAGGTTCTTAAGTTCCCTGGTGGAATAACCATTATCCCTCCACAAGCTGCTTTTCTTCTGCAGAAGCCTTACGCATCCTTCAACTTCACTCTGAACTTCCCAATCTATAAAGTGCAAGGTAGAATGAATGAGTTGAAAGACCAAATGAAGGCAGGACTACAGCTCGATCCCTATGAGGTTGGTAAGAATCAGTTTAATTTCAATTTCTTAACACTATAACAATCATTCTATGATGTTAATATGTTATAATTTAGTTTTATACACTTGTTGCCAACTTGCAACAAAATTGTTGTGTACTAGAAATATTTGGATGCCTGTTTCTTGTTACTTCCCTGGTCAGGAATATATAGTGCTAAGATATAAGCAAACTGTTTTTTTTTTGTCTTTTTATCACTGGTATATTGAACCTATTTAGGTCTGTGAAAATGACATATTCCCATATCATAATAATATTACAATTTTTTTTGTGACATAGTTGGATGTTGCAGACAGCGTGCATACCAAAATGCCACAGGTTTTTTTTTCCATATAAATATCATCTCTTTCATAAGCCAGTTCCCCTACTCTGCCAGACACCGATACCCCTCCATGAGCTTCAGCATGTTATTGATTGATTCCATGATGAATACTGTTTTGCCTATTCAGCTCTCTAAAAAGTCCATTTTTTTGTTCCATGGTGATGAGGAGCTAAAAGATTGAGTACATTAAAATACCAGTTTCAAGAAAAAAAAAAGGGTAGCTTACAACATATATTGTTGTCTTTGCATACTTTATTGAAGCTAAAACATTTGAGAATGGAAAACAAACAGATAGCTCTACTACATAATACATATTCCCTGTGATACAAGTGGTCTATCACAAAAGTAATTAAAATGTCACAAGTTATGCGTGATTTTCTTCGTGTTATTATTTATTCCACACTTGCCCTAGGAGTCTTAAGACCCTTGATGCTTATTTTGTTGTATGTTAGAATATCTATGGTGGGAGTCAATAATTACTAGTCTACTGGGTCACAGAAACTGGTGCACGCCATTGGATCTCTTTTTTTGTCTATTGAATTTAATTTCAACTCTTGTACTTTGCAGAACCTCTACATCAAACTAACAAATTCAGAAGGTTCAACGGTGAGACCACCAACAATTGTTCAGGCCTCCATTGTTCTTGAAGTTGGTAATCACCAGCCCTCCCTTCCAAGGATGAAGCAGTTGGCTAAAACAATTGCTAATTCATCTTCAGGAAACTTGGGCCTGAACCACACGGTGTTTGGCAAAGTAAAGCAGATAAGCCTCTCATCTTATCTTAGACATTCTCTGCACAGTGGAAGTGACTCTGATGCACCTAGTCCAGCACCCTTGCCTCAACAAGGCCATCACAATCATCATCAACATCACCATCACCACCACCACCACCATCACCACCACCATAGTCATGAAGAAAAAAGGCATTTGTGTCCGTCTCCTGCACCTGTACATTCTCCTGTTGAACAACCCAAATATAGATCTCCACCGTCTAGTTTTTCACATCCATACACCAATAAGCCAAAGAATAGAACTCCTGTAGCACCAGCAGCTGAGCCAGTACCTAGTAAACACAATAATCACTTTGATTCACCTGCCAACATGCCTCGTGCTGTGTCACCATCACCTATCAGTCCATCAACTTCTGTTCATCACTCTCCGAATAACCCAAATAGGCACCATAGCCCCTCTGATCCATCTCCAGTACTTGCTCATGCACATAGTACTGCCCAATCGCCAGCTGTGGCCCCTGCTCCTCACTCATGTGAGTACTGTTCTTTCCACGGTTCCATACTGCCAGATTCATTATTTTTTAGCAATATTGTACTTGATAAATTGATATCAAGGATTTTGCAATTTTATGCTTTTCAAACTCAAAAAGGGGTGGTAGTAATAATATAAGGCTTGGGACTTGTTATAGGTCGATAGTTTTTAAATTTGTAGGTCTATTATATGCAACTTCTAAAAAGACGCGAATATTAGGGAATGACCTAATATCAAATAATTACTTTTCAAACTCAAAAGACGTGAATATTAGGGAACGACCTAATATCAAATAATTACTTTTCAAACTCAAAAGGGGGTGGTAGTATTATATAAGGCTTGGGACTTGTTATAGGTAGATAGTTTTTAAATTTGTAGGTCTATTATATGCAACTTCTAAAAAGACGCGAATATTAGGGAATGACCTAATATCAAATAATTAGAAGGGGTGTGGCTTCGAATCCAGGTCGTCTAGCCCACCGCTGGAAGACCCCTGGGCGTTTCTCTTATATGCAACTTCTCATCAATCAAATTCTGGTTTATTGCTTTCTGAAACTTTATACCTGTTCAACCACCTCTAGATGTCGCATATATTGAATGTCACTAAAATAACGTCATGCGTTTATGTCAAACTTAGTTACAACTTAGTGAATTGTTCATGTCTGTTACTGTCTTCATACTTGAATAACCCTCTCTCTTTCAACTTATCTGAAGTAGTTCTATTGCAGCATATGCCACGCGGCAGCATTCGTGTCAATGGGCTCTTGCATTCCTGTTGTGCATGCTAATGGGTCTACCATAAGGAGGGCAGACTATCTAAACAGAATATATACTCCAAAAATAAGCAGCCTCACCGATCACCGGCCGTCTTCAGAAGATAACTGAAGTTGCTCATGCGCGAAATTGCGCATCCAGGTCAGGTGGGTGGTGTATATTGTGTTAGAAACATGTAAATATGGGCGGGGCAAATGCAAAAACAAGCATACCTGTGTGTAGTGGTCAAAGCCAAGGAGGTGGCAGGCCCCTTCTGTTGTTGCACAGGTGAAGCTCTGTCCTGCGTTTGCAGTGTAATAGTGCTGAAAAATGATGGTGGAATCCAATATTAGATGCTTATACCGTTTTACATGGGAGCATATGGCAGTTTCTTTCAGTTCTCGATGGATCAAATTCTGGAATTTTTTGATGTTTTACCACTCTAAATATGTTGTCACTACGTGACAGTGACATGGGCTAAGATGGCGAATAAACGAAACCCATTTTGTGGAGTGGAAAAAATACCAAATCTCGAAACTCTTCGGTGATCCATACACGTTTGATAATTCTCAATTCTGGCAGTTTACCGTCTTCTCCTGCGAGTTTCTGGCAGCAGTCTTCTGAGTAAATTTTGTACCCTGTGCGAAACGCTCTGTATCCGAATTAACATGCTAGGTATGTTTACCTGGCCTAGAGAAAACGTATTTACTGAATTAGATCGTACTGTTCCCAAGCAGCAACAAATCCTGGTGTAAGGTAACTACCAGATTAGTTCAACAATCAAACATAAAGGCACCGTTTCCTTTTGTGATTTTTATGATGTCTTTCATAGTAAATCATTAATAGATCTCTTTGATAGATCATAGCAATCAACTAGATTGAATGTGTGCCATATCATAGCAATTCCAAATTTCTTGTATGCTCATCCAACCAGTCATTGCCATTTACGTACTAAGCAACAGGCAAAAAAAAAAAAAAAGAAAAAAGAAGGCATAAGAATGCTGGAGTGTGCCAGGTTTACAACATGAGATGATATGCTCTCCGAATGATTCGTGAGTGGTGAAAAAGAAAGAAACAATTGAATGAATTAATATCTGATGATGTACAATGGATCTGATGGTACAGATTCTACAACTATGCTGCAACAAATTACACAATGTAACAAATTTTCAAGAATGTGAATTGAACAAAGATACACAAGCCGCCACCTTACAACACATGGTGGAGGCCAGAGGTAACAACTGTAACGATCAATTTGTGTGACACATATGTACCAATTTTCCTGATCGTGTGGGCATACAAAAGGTCGCTGTCAATAAGTTTTACTGTGCTTGCTGTTGTCTCTCTTGAGTTGTACTTTCAGTTTTTTACCACCTAATTGGTATCCGTTCATCATACTAATGGCTGTCTGTGCAGAAGCAGGAGAATCATAGCTTATAAAACCTGCACCCAATCAGGAACCAGTTAACAAAGCATGATAATACAATCAATGGTTAGCAGTTAGGACAAGTTAATTACCGAAGCATTTACTAAGACCAGTTGCTTTGTCTACAAAAACTTTAGCACTCAGTACTCTACCAAAACCCTGAAAGGCACCGGCAAGATCTTGGTCGCCAAATTCTTGAGGGATGTGGTAGATAAATAAATTGGCTCCAGGAGGACCTGTACACATGAAAAAAAATCATCTATAAAATGAATTTGAGATCTAACAGGTAATAAACTAATTTTCAGGAGTGTAATAGAGACAAACCCTCTATCTGAGGACCGGGGTTGCTGCTAGTACTTGAAGAAGTGGGAGAACTAGCATTCGCATTTGGAACTTTCATTGAATTGTGAGAATTCACAAAAGGACGACTATTGATAGCATTACCAGGATATGATCCCGGATACTGCATACTAGGCACAGGCGAATAAGGACTGCCTAACTGCATTGAGTTAAACGATCTAGGAGCAGAATTAGGTGAAAGTTCAGAATTGACTCCACGAATAGAGCTTCCTTGATTAACAGACTGAACCATATTCGGGAAGGCAGCTTGATTTTGCATAGGAGATAAAGGGTACTGCATTAGTCCATAGGTTCCTTGTGGCTGCACAGATCAACAGAAATATAGTTACATCCCACAATTCAAGCCAGATCATACTCAGGTGCAGAGTATACAAAGCTAAGTTGTCTAGCAAACCACACTGTGTTTCAACCTAGTTCTAAGGAAGGTGCAAACTGTAGCAGTTTAAAAGAATGCACTTTAATGTTAAGCATAATAGTGAAGTTAACTGTTTAGCTATTTGCAATAATAACTGTTCAATAATAAGCAAAGATACAGCCAGAGGACAACATGAGGAACGACAGACGAACAGCTATAGGTTTTCAGAGACCATGCGCTTGGCAATGATTTTTGGTTTTTTAGAAGACTGAAAAGCAAGTTAGGAATAGGATTACTTGTATTCTAGGAATAATTATGTGGTTGTGTGATGTTCTAAAATCTCAAGACTTTTTAAGTCATAATTTACCTGGTAGCCATAACCATTATACTGTGGTACATATCCCATCTGCATAGCTCCAAATAATGAAGACTGTTGCATTGCATTTGGATTTGACATATTAGATGGGTGAAATTGAGCCTTTTGTGCTTTTCGAGCTTGTCTTTCCTTCTCAGTGTCAGCCCATTTAACAACCAAAGGTACACTTGAACCCTACAAAAGATCAGGGCACATCAAGATCTATGTAATCAACTGTGAAAATTCAAACATAAAGGAAACAGCTAATATATTAATACAACTTAAGGAGCTGGCTACATTTATATATTAAACATACTATCTTTCTGTATACATATGCTACTACTAATTTCCATTGAATTTAAATTTGAAAATTCTCAAGGGTTTTGTTATGTAGTTTGGAGCTTTTGATTCTGTAAATATTCTAAGATATTATTGGAACACTAAAAAAAAATTTTTGGATATTACAGATTGCCTTTTAGGAACAGTCATTGGACCAGAATTGCTTTAAAAGCTGTGACGGTGACAATATGCACATGGATTGACCTATTTACAACATATTACTGCGTCCAGTTTTGCGAGGCTAAAATTGTATACTGTGTCTACCACTGTTGTTGCTTATACATATTCAAGTGTGAGTGTGCAACAAACAAATCCATCACATTTGAGCTTAACTTATATCTGCACTCATCTATTGTTAATTTGATCTGGATGGACTGTTTCATGCTACAGTCATGTAGCTATTACTTGTTACAATCACAGAATGAGACAGTGAATGAAATTATTTTGTTCAGCTATGTTGGAACAGTATTTGAATCAGGATACAGTACTATTCTTGGCTTTGAGACTGAGCTAGTACAATAGATGCCTAAGTTGCTATCGTTTGCAGGAGAGATCTATAAACACAAATCAGCAAAAAAAATATTGTATCATCCTTCAATTTCCACAAACCTCTATTTTGTGTTTCCCATTTAGAGCTTCGATAGCTGCCAGCGCTTGCTCTTTTGTTTCATACTTCAAAAAGGCACAGCCGGCTGCAAGATCCATAGTTGGAATAAGCTAAAGGTTCTGAGAAAGTTTAGGGTTCTATATGACAAGTGTTTTCCATCTGAATCAAGAGGGGGAAAAGGTAAAGAGATTTTGACCTTTGCTTGTCTGTTGTGAACCTCTCAAAATTTGCAAATCCTTGATGTTCCCATATTGCGAAAATAAATCAGTCATTTCAGCATCTGTTACATTTTTTGGAAGCATTCCAATGAAAAGTTTGTGCTCTGGAAGCAACAGCGTCAACATGAAAACATAGATACATTAGCAAAATTTAACAATTATTCTGAGGATATACAAATGAATTATGGAAGAAATAATTTTAGAGAGCCTCATACCCAGTCTTTCCAACTCTCCATCAGCATATTTCACTTGCAATGGACTTGAAGCCTGGTTTCAGAGAAAAAAAGGAATTGCTGTCAAGGAGGTCGCAATAGAAGTAATGTCGGTTTTACAGAACTGAAATCACAACAACAGGCTTTACTCCCAAGCAAGTTTGGTAGGCTACGGAACTTAAATAACTGCCATGAAAAATAAAAAAAAATGTAATAATACTCAGAGATCACTAAAATTTATGATCGTTGAACTGCCGCTACCAGATAACAGAATTGAAACAATCCGAATTTTATCCATCATCAGAAGAATGAGCGCTCACTCTCGGGTAAGGTAGGGCGTGTGTGGTTTTAATTAATCCAGAGATGTATGTGTATCATAACATCAAATTCAGAAACTCCTAGCGCTCATGGCATATTAGAGTTCTAACCATGTTTTGGCTTGTGATGAATCCACAAATACCAATCAGAAATAAATAGACACTAAAATAAGTACATGCTCAAACATCATTAACCAGCTCTAGAAAACACATGCTTGGTAGTCACAAACAACAAATAATATTCATTCATATGAGAGTGCCAGGGGTGAGATACGATCTTTATCTTCTCCCGTCAGTGACCAGAACCAGAGTAGAAGTAAACAAAACTACATGAATAGCAGAAAATATGTGTTTGGATTTCATGGCAAAAATGCATGAATTTTGTTATTAGATGTTTCTTGGCTAAAGAGAGGAGAAAGAGAGACTGTGTCAGCTCTTGAAAGGAAATTTACATGAGAATGTGCCATGTTTGGTTCCCTCCTAAATTTATAGAAATTTACAGTCGTGCGAACTATGAGATTATTTTGGTGCAATCCTATGATCCAAACACCAAGCGTACTTTTTTTTCTCATTTGGCTTGCAATCCTTTATTTTTCCTACAAAAATCCTTGTTCTAAAGCAGGCCTAACGTTTCACTTAATCACACTGAACATCTATACTTCCAAAAATATGATGCGCTCCCAGTTTATCCACGAGAAACCATATTAAACATTTAGAAGGTTCCACATTGAACAACTACAGACACAAAAAAGAAATCCTTTCACATACCCCTGGAAGGGTGCGCTTGTTGTGATATGCATTCACCGCCTTGTCAGCCTCCTCCCTTGATGGGCAGATCAAAAAGCAGCAGCCTGCAAAAGGTCCAGTGCATCTTAAATCAAGGTCAAAATGATGGACAAGTTGATCAAGAATTAAGAATGTCATCTGGAAAGAAAAGGTAGTAGATACTTTCTTCCTGGAAAAAGATACAGTTTCTAATTTGGCAGGAAATGCCATCAGGAATTTGTATAGAGGGAAATGCTGTTTAGTTACGATATGCATAATGCATGTTGAGTCCTTTGGGAAGAAAGAGGGCAAAGAAAGAAGACGGAATTGTAACAAATGAAATCACTCCTGACAATAACGAAAATCGGCTTAAACCAACAAAATGGAAGAAGATCCAATTCCATGTGACACTGAAAAGAATCAGCATCACAATAAAACAAGGTCTAGTGACTAGTGAACAATGACCCACAACAGGCTGGAAACAGTTATTGTCCCATATTTGACCATTGTGCTGTCCTAACCAGGCAAGTGATTGACATTTACAGCAAAAGAAAGGACAAAATTATCGGAGCAAATTACTATGTAACGGCAAATCATTTTGTAGAACAAATTAAGCTCTTAAATCCAAGAAAACAGAAGAAAACAGCGGAGAACACATGTACAGTTCGACTGGTCCTGAATGCTAACCAAATCATGCACGTAAAAGGAAAAAAGCACATCTTTATTCAGTTAATGGCTAAAACGAATCTGCACTGAGCCCTGTACTCCATTTTCAATTGAAGTCAACCAGATCAAGTTTACACCTAAGAGCATCTAAATTCCAGAAATTGAACACCAAATGCTTACTTCTGCATCTCAAAATCAACACATGCATGGGGAAACACCACAGTTCAAAGCATTGTAACAAACCAAAGGACCAGAAACTACCATCCCAAACCCCAAATAACTCAAAATCTATGCCTTGTTCCACAAGAGCACACAAATCCAACGTATTACACCAGCATTGGACCAAATCCCACTAATTCAACACGAACTCGAGCTCAATCGCCAGTAAACAAGAAATTTCAAGCCAAAACCCAAAGCTCCTAACCAATTACCACAAGATGCAGAACCCAATTAACCGCGCGATGAATCAGACTAGAGCAAACAGCACAAAAAAAAAAACCACACATGCAGCCGCCAATTCAGCTGCTACCCAGACACCGAAATTGGCCATGAACAGCCGAAATTCCCCACCACATTCCGCATAAATCGCCACGAGAAGCAACTAACACCCGGGAAACCTTGTGGCCCCACGGGAGGAAAAGCGAGGAGCTCGAATTCCTTCACCCCCAAGTCAAACTCGGTGGGAGCCCGCCCGCGAGACGGCGACGGCGACGGCGAGGACCCCGATTCCGACCCCTCGCCGCGCCGGAGGCCCAGATCCCGAGCACCAGACCGGAAGAGGAGAGCCGCATTGCGCTGGGAGTGGAGGGTGGGGAAGGGGAAAAAAAAATTCCCGCGTACGGATCTCGGACCTCGGGACGCCTTGGTGGCCTTGTCGCGGATGAGGGTGACCTCGTCGACGACGGCGACGGCGGCGAACATGGCGGCGAGCTCGTCCTCCGTCATCTGCTTCGGCACCTGCCCCACGAACAGCTTCACGCTCTCCTCCCCCCTCCCGTTCCCCTGCTCCTCCCCTCCCCCCACCCCCGCCGCCGCGGCTGCCGGTGCCGCCGCCTCCTCCTGCTGCTGCTGCTGGTTCTGCTGGTCCCTGTCGCCGCCGCCGTCCTCCGCCATTGGGGTTAGGGTTTGCGGCGGAGGAGGAGGAGGAGGAGGAGGAGGCGTGGGAATTTGGGCTTGGGTTGGGGTGGGGTGGGGTGGCGACGCCGCGTGGAGACGGAGAGGAGGGGGAGAGAGGGAAGAGGGGAAGAAGGCGATTGATTAATAATAATAATAATAATAATAATAATAATAATAGCTGTCAAATAAATAAATAAATAAGATACTAGTTCTAGTTCCGGTTTGGGATATATAAGGAGTTTTAGAGTTGGATATAATTATTTAGAAAATGAAGAACTTACTTATGGAAGATTGTGATTGGTTGAGAAGAGACGATAGGTGAGAAAATTGATTAGTGTAGTATTATGATTGGTTGAGAAGAAAATATTGTTATAATTTGGAATAAATTTTAAAGATTAAAAGTTGTTATATTTTGAAACAGGAGTGTGTAACAAAATAGTGGAAAGAGAAGCAATGAATGGGATATATGGGATATGTAATGACGATGATTGTGATGGCAGTGGGGAGTATGAGGAGGAGAGGGAGTTGCCAACTTGGCTTGTGGTGTGTGCTTCTTGTGATTTCTTCCATCCCCTCTCTCCCTCTTTCTTGGCTGCTTTAGCCCCAACGGTTTTCTTGCATCAATCCGTCTATGTTTTCTCTCTCTCTTATTGTTGTTTGCTTATTGTCACTAGTGGTTTTCTTCTTGTTTCTTTCTCTATTTTCTTCGAGTTCATTGTTCTTTTTTCTGAAAATGATTCTGATGAGTGAGTACTAGGTTGCCTTGGACATGTATGTTTTTAGTGTTATAGGAATTACTGACACAAGAAATACTACTTTTGTCATATATTATAGCTATCTTTAGCATTAAAGACGATAATGTAATTTAGAATACTTTGATTTGGAGTGTACATCACACTGTAAAAAAATGTGATTAACTTTTTAACAATGAAATGCAAAAATTTTGGATTTGCTTCAAATAAGTTACAACCAATTATTCCGAAGTCTAGTTAAAAGCTACAATCACATCACAATCCATAATATATCAAATTAATTATTAGTTATGATTGTATCTTCACTGTTTAAACTTATATCGAATTAATTGTATTGGTCCGATGTTGGCAAACTGTAGGATCCATGCCATATTGTTCGCTTGCTTAGCTTATTGTATTCCCTCCATCCTAAAATGTAAGGCTCAATCACTCCTAACATAAAAACCAAGAAAAAAATTAATCACCTCCTCGATTGTATCACATCCATTCATACTAGCAATGTGATTGAGGATTTAAAATAAACCAAATTAAAGAACCAAGAGGTGATAGTTAATATATACTTATATGCACGTCTTATATTGTGAGACATAAGAAAAGAAGTGATTGTGTCTAATAGTTGGGATGGAGATAATATAACATAAGTTGCCTAATTATCTTATGTAAGTTTGTCGTTATATTGTTTTATGTAAAAAAAATACCATGTAACATTTGCTCCATTATTTATTTATTGTAAATAAATGGAATCATGATCGAGTCATTTACCTCTTCTCTACTATTATAAAAAATCAAGATGTTTATACCAATACCTTGGTACATCGTCCGTATTTGAGTTAATTTTTAAATTCATTTGTTTTTAGAAATATATAAGGAGTCGTATAAGAAAACCTTTTTTAAAAAAACCCGCATGCTAACTTGGGACGGGAATCAAACTCCTAATTGCTTCAGAATTCTTGCCAGGCCATAAGAGTTTTGAATTAGATATCAACACTATCAAAATAAAAAATCTCATATACTATTTAGAAAAAAAATCTAAACAATAATACAATTAAAATAACCTTCACCTATTATAATGCACGGGTATTTTTTTTCTAGTCATGCAAAAAATTGAACTCTGCCAAATGAAATTCATGTGTCCCAAATCCCAATATGCCTGGATTTTTTATTATTTGCCATCCTCTTCAATGGTGTATTCCCAAATGCTACCTTCTTTAACAACTTAGATTATTTACGATCCGAACACACCAGATTGTTTCTATTTTACTACTTTTACTTATATGGTAGCATTTCAGAAGAAAAAGTTTCTATATATATATATTTTAAAAAAACACACTATTTAATCGTTTGGAAAGCATATGTTAACTAAAAACGAGAAAGTTGAAGTTTGGAGTTAAAAAAAGAACTTAGTAAATAAACAAATAAAATTAAACCTTTTTTCTAACATATCAGCTTCAATTTAGACGAGTCAACCCAAGAAGGTTTGAAAGTGAATCCTATGTTTGCTTCACGGTACAGTGAAAGTAAGCAAGTAAGTGCCTGTTTAGTTGGCGAAATAAAAATTTTTAGGTGTCATATCGGACGTTTGACCGGATGTCGGAAGGAGTTTTCGGACACGAATGAAAAAACTAATTTCATAACTCGCATGAAAACCGCGAGACGAATCTTTTGAGCCTAATTAAACCGTCGTTAGCACATGTAGATTACTATAGCACTTTTATGGTTAATCATGGAATGGAATTGGAAGCCCAAGTAAACGAAATCATGCTATCATCGACAAGGACAGACAGGCTACAAAGCCTGGAGCTTTTGCCAATTGGAACTATCCCTCTCATCCGTCCGTCCTCCTACCAGGGAGCTGGCATGTCACTCTCTCTTTCTTTCTGATAAAAAGAGACTACACAGATGAACGAGTGATGTGGGGGCATCAACGGGGAGAAATTGCTAGTCGTCCCAAGGAGTACGTTATGTTTCTTTTTCTTTTCCTATGTTCTGCTCCCCTTTTCTAAAATATAAATAATTATAGAATAATGCTAAGTCAGATATTTTTAATTTAACTATTAATAACGAAAGAATAAACAAGATTGATCACATATGAATGATGTTATTAGATTTATCATTAGACGAACTATTAATATGTAACCCTTTTTTTGTTTATAACAACTTATTTTTATGAATATAATTGGTTAAAGAAGATCATGCCAAAGTCTAAAGATTTGAGATGGAGAGAGCAATAATATATTTGATGTTCTAGCTCTTTGCACTGGACCATGAATAGACCGATGACCCTGATTGTATGATGTGCTGCCATGGGACTCAAGATAGCAACAACTCAAGGTCTCAAACAAAGAACAAATTCAATTCACATGAAATTATAAGGTTTTTAGTGGGAAAAAAAAAGAGACAAGCGTAGACTTTTATGTGTGTTTTTTTTATAGATATAGCAGTCATTTAACTTGCCATAACTATATGGGTTTGCTTGTAAATAATTTTTACGTCTCTGACTTACCGAAAACCCACGAGTTTGGACAACTTCTCACTTAGCGGAACACATTGCAAATGTTTTTTAAAATAGTTCAAACGGGGGGAAATTGTGTTTTTACCCCTATTTTAAAGTCTAAGTATCAAATTGGCAACATTTTTTCAAGTTTGCTCATTTGACCATTTTCTTAAAAAACAAAGATCAAGTCTAAACGTGTTTCGTGAAGGCAAACTAACGGTGTTAACTCAGAAAAAATATCATTTATGCCCTTGCTCATTTGACCTTAAATTTCTAAAATTTTCACTTACTCGATCTAGTTTTTTTCACTTTATTCCTATAAAATATGAGATGGAAATTTTGACTAAAAATATGAGACAAAATTGATACAGGTTTGAAGGTTTAATAACTTTGACCTAAATTTAAGGCCGAGGCAGGAAAGGACAATGTTGTGGTCATTTTGGTCTTGTTTATTCTCTAAATGCATTATCTAATAACACTCCTAACGTGTGGTTAGAAGAGGATCAGACATCATGTTTATTTTTTAAAAGTAAGGTCAAAAGATTAAAGCTAGGAGAGAGAGGGGGTGGCAAGTTGGTAATTAGGCTTCATAATAGGATACAAACACAATATTCTCTAAGAAATATCATAAAAAAATGTCATGGTTTAATGAGTACATGTATTCATGGCTCTTATTCCTGTGGTGTAGATGCATATGCGTGTTCATTAAAAACACCCGATTAGTTGGCATGTCCAATACCAGAATATTTATACAGTTATACGTACGATTTAATGATTGCATTAACAATTGGAATTTGTCAACTGTTAACGAAAAAGAAATCGTCTTAAAAACAAATGCTGCAGAACAGAAAGAAAAAAAAGGGGCGGAAGAAATACACCAGGTGTGCCTGGCGACCTAAATGATTATTCCGTTGCTTTTGCATGTGTTGAGAAAAAGGAGAAAACAGTGATGTCTAAACAGGGCGCAGCTTTGTCCGAAATGATACATGTCACTGCCAACCCAAAGCCCTCCCCAGTGGTTGTCTCTTCTTTAGATAAAATCTTACCTTTTTTTTGTCTTTAGATAAAATCTTTGATAAAGACATCGTTGAATTTTCATGCATGGTTACCTTCTTCGAGTAAATCAGTAATTTCCTTCTATGGGTGTGTTTAGTTCACGCCAAAATTGAAAGTTTGGTTGAAATTGGAATAATGTGACGGAAAAGTTGGAAGCTTGTGTGTTTAAAAAAGTTTTGATGTGATAGAAAAGTTGGAAGTTTGAAGAAAAAGTTGAGAACTAAACCGGCCTATGTTGTGCAAACAAACAACAAATTCATCAGTTTTAGAATAAACTTTGAGAAATGGTGCATAATATGATGCTTACAAATGTTACTTCTACCGATGCTCGGGTACACCTACACACCATATTTCCATACTAAAACTTACGGGTAGTGCAAATAAAAAAAAGTTGTTCACCGATATACTAGATTACTAGTACACAATATCTCTCTAATTGGGCACATATAAGGGATCGGTTGACCCAATGATTATACAGTGTGAGTCTCCATCTTTATCATGGTTAAAGGCTTCTAAGGTCAAAAAAACAGGCAATTCCACCACCCAAAATTACATTACATGTCATTGAGCATATTTTTAATTTAGTTAGAGCCTTTCAGTCGTTTTTTCCCCGGACAGTTTAAATTCACCGTAAGTAAAACGGTCACGTTTATACAGTTATGGCATACGATGCACTTGCACCACCACCACGTTCCAATACACCGTACTCCAGGCCACGACAAAACCAGGCAGAATGGGCACAAAAGACCGCCACCTAGGCCGCACAACGGAAGAACTAGAACAGCAGGGGCAGCCAGCCCATAGGAAACAAACAATTTCCCTTCATCAAGGAATCGAGTCGGAGCCACGGGCTAATAATAAAGAGTATAATAATAATAATATTAATATTCATCATCATATCAGCACATAAAAACGGCGACGGCGGCAAAAAAAAAAAACAGCACGACCGGTCCAGCAAATTCCAGTTGTTCAAAAGGAGCAAAACACCAACGACGACGATACGATGGCTCATGGCTCCCCACCCCCCCCCCCCCCCCCCCTCCATAACGTGCCCACGAACTCTAGGCTGGCGTCCAGTGCGGCAGCCACATGCCCCCCGTGCCACCTCGACCGGTGTGGACCATACCACGCCGCGGACGCAACTGGCCACGGTCAACTCATAAACACCGCACAAATTACACCACCACCAAACCAAATGTAGTGCGAGGCTGCGAGCTAATTACTCTCTAATAATCCCCTCTTAACTGACTAGTCTAAGCTACTGCAACTAGGATTTGGAGCAGGAGAGAATGTACATTTTGGGGGGTTTTTTTTTTTTCCAGACTGGTGATTTTGGAGTCGGATTGAAGCCTAACCAACGGCGATCCTGTCCGGGCTGAGCAGCACACTTCACTTGGTTGGAGGGTAAAGGGGCGGAGCGGAAGAGGCGTTGTCGTGCTGCAGCGGGGCTCGCGGCTTGATGTCCCGGCTGCGCATGTAGGCCAGGAACTGGCCAGGGAGCTCCTCCAGCAGCGACTGGACGACGGAGATCTGCCCGCCTGCACCCAACCGACGGTCCAAGATGTGGGGTTTGATGGAATGTCAGCGACGAGATTTTACAGGGGGCACTGTCACTGTGTGTGTGATCTGTGGTAACATATGTGAGTCAGTGGCTGACCTTGGACATCCCTCATGGGGACGAACTGGACGATGTCCCGCGTCGCGATCCTGCCGGTCGAGCTCTCCAGCCGCTTGCCGTTATCTCCATCCAGGATCTGCAAAAAGAGGGATTGGTCGATTTAAAATCAGCATGAAGGATGAAAGGGAATGTATGTCTAGATGCAATCAGAATTCAGAAAAAAGGTAGTAAAGTACTGCATTAGTTCGACAAAGTGCAGGACTAGAGCTACCCTCGTAACAGCTAAGCTAAGCTTTCAAATAAGGAAACGCTGTGATTGGATGAGGTATTAAATCATACGCCTATTTTTTCATTTACTATCTTTGAAGTAAATGCCTTTACCTCCATTTGCTTGAAATCAGCATTTCCAACGCCCACGATGAGGATTGACAATGGCAGATCGGATGCCCTCACGATAGAATCTTTTGTTTCTTGAATGTCAGTGAGAACTCCATCCTGCAAAAAATGTTCAGGTGAGTGATACAGACTTGATAGACGTCAAAACTCAAAATGTTCAGAAATCTGGTCGCGTACCGTGATGATGAGTAGGACAAAGTATTTGTTGTTTCCGTATTGAAGGGAGTGGCTGGCAATCTCGGCAGCTTTGTTGATAATTGGCCCAAACAGAGTTGGCCCAGCAAGGGTGACACTGTAAAGGGTAGAGGTGTATGCTGACATGATGCCTTCAACTCCGACGACCTGTAATGGTAATTGAAAATTCATAACATAAATTAACATGATATAAATTGTAGAAACAGAAAATACATAGGATCAACCATTAAATACAAATGACTTGCAAAAAAAAAAGAAATACAATTGGCATTAGTAGTCATGTTGCTCATTATTTTGGCAAAGTTCAGAAGGATTTCAGGAACAACACCACACATGATTTGGCAGTACCAGAGCCATGCATTAGGTAACATAGTATAGTTATTACAAGAGTGATGAAATTGAATACAAAAGGTACATTCCATCTACAGTAATACACAAATATTAATAGTAAAAACATATGTAGCAGTGAATAGCAATTAACTAATTGTGAATGTTATAAGAAAAGCCATGCCAATTTTTAACATTCCCAAGTCCTTCTAGCTCCTAAAATTATGAATCAGCAATATCCACACACAAGAATGAGTTAAAGAAATTACAAAGGCTGGAGGGATTTTTAGTGGAACAAAAGATGGCTTAAAAGCACTTGTTGCATGAGAGGCTTTACTAGAGACTACTATTGGAAAATAGTGAAACAAACCAAGCATGAATCTAAGAGGTTCAATGGTAACGAATGTCTTATGTCATATTGTAGGAAAGGGGGAGGGCAAAGCGCTAACGTGTAAAAAAATAACTCATCAACCATGAACCTCACCTCGCAATCATTGGTAGTTGCATTCAGATTAAAACAGTGGGATATGTAGCCCTGTGGTGTCTTCGCTCCAAAACCCCATGCCGGGAATCGCCTATCATTGTCATAAAACTGCAGAACTTCGCCAACCCCTAGTATTGCCTGATACATTAAAGAGTTCAGTTTGCAGGCTTTCTTTCATTTCGAGAATAAGCTTGATCAAACAAGCCCTGACCTGCTGGTATGAGTTCGGTCTGCCAGAGGGGTCAATGTAGTGCAAAGACTGAGGTGAACGGGGGTCACCATTTGAAGCTGAAAACACACCAGGGTTGCACTTTTGTAAATATATATGAGATTGACAGTGCTATATATTTAAGCTGAAACATGGCGCTAACCCGTGAAATCTACAGCCACCATAAAATTTAGCTCAAAACCACTGGAAATGTAGTCCAAGAAAGTATGTTGAACTTTTTCCTGGAACTTATCCACAAACAATTGTCCCTTCAACTGAAACAGATCAGATATATTGAGAAATATTAGATTTTGTGTTACCTTTTTGTGTAGTAGATAACATAAAATAAGAAATTCTTAACCTTTTTCTGTCCCTTATGGCTGAAAAAATTTGCTCCAGACTTTGAATTATATACATTCTCAAGTTGAGTGATAGTTGTCTGGAAGGTCCTATTTGTAAGACAAGCAAGGATATATATATAATTAAACTCAGCAACAAGAGCAAAAGATGGCAAAATGATTCTTTAGTCCTTGTGCATACCCAATAAGTTCGTGGTCACCACTTGAATCAAAATCAAAACACTCAACTAGCAATGGGTTATCCTGAAATAATTTAAAACAGAGAAAACATCAGACCAACCTCGGACTATACAAGCAATGCAATACTAATACAAATATCCAAAAGTCAGAGAATTGAACTTGCCTTGCTTCCAAATTGTTGTGATGTTAGTATTATGGGCCTCCAAACAGGGTTTAAATTGTTGCTGATCACTTCAGTTTTACAGATAGGAATGGGACCAGCAGTTTCCACCAGTCTTGATATTCTCAAGAAAGGATCCTGTGTGAATAATATCAAATGTAAATCGAGTGTTACTAATTTGCTAACTAGTAGCATACCTTACTAGCAGAGGAAGTAGTATCATACACTTTTTGAAAATACATCTTTGTTTTCCAAGTTTAGGGCATGGAGTGTCATCTCAACTGCCATCCTTGAGGAATTACTTTCTTCAGCATGTACTGTCACTGTTCCTAGAAGGGTATGTCCACAACTATCTCTGAGGTTAAGTGTCAGGCTGTGATTGTTTGTGACAATCTGTACGAAGAACAAAATATATATATTAAAAGAAGACGATCTTGTTTCTTTGCCCCTATGCATGTGCTCAGATGCCTTGTATACTGCAACTGGAACTATCTAATTCATATTATTTGCAAAGGATCCTGTAACTGGAATCATACCTCTGACAAATTGCAGCATGCTTCTCCAAGAAAATCTTGCTGAGCCAAGTTCAGTGTCTGCATAAAACAACGAATACATGATTCAGAAGTAGTAGTAACTTTACAAGCTAGGAATGGCACAGAATTGGAATGGGTTAAATCAATTGTTCATCAATGTTACTATATATTCTCTTAGTAATGCACTTTATTTCCCAAATACCATATTTAGGTGACCAAGGTAAAACTGTAGAGGAGCCTAAATGAGATGAGACAATTCTACAGCCAAGTCACCAGCTGGTTTTCTGAGAAAATATTAACAATTGAGGCCATTCTTCAGTCAAATCATCACCCAGCTAGTTTCAACACATATGAAATGTATACATGCACCATTTTTGTTTAATTATGTAATGTGATGCGTGTTGGAAGAATTTTCATGAGAAGCTCAAGGCCCCCAAAATACGCATCAGTATCCACAAATAGGAAAGGACTAAAAGATGCACACCATCAAATATAGCCATATGATAATAAAGAAAAATGGTGCGATAAATGAAAAACCATGGATTGATTTCAAGATCATATTTATAGGTGATTGAATATATCCAAATTGAATATGGGCACATGAGAAAGAAAAGTTCAAAGAGGGAAAAATATGAACGGAAGGAACAAAATATACCTTGACTGGCGTGTTATGGTACCTTGTGTCGATGTCATATATCTTGAATCTGTCATAAATGGAAACAAAAGTGTATTGATAATTGGTAAGTAGGATATGTCTACAAGTGATTCCTACATTTATATGTTATAAACTTACACAAGCGGCTGTATAATCTCAAATTGGTAACTTATTGTAGCCTTTGTGATCCACGAGGGTTCCAGTGAGTTCAGTATCACTTCAGTACGGCCAATCTCTTCTAGCCTTGCATCCTTTCTTATGTAGATCACTAACATTGGATCACTCTAAAGTATGTAATCAGACACTGGATAAATTCGGGGAATACATTCACATATGCAAGGAAAATAACCAATCAGAATTAGGGAACATATCTTTTTGTTGTTATGGTAAATGCAATGACAGACAATGAATAAAATGTTTACCATGTTTGTATAGATGGTGCAAATCAACAGATGTATTGGTTGTTGGCTTGTTGCATGTTTTAACTAGTATATTTGAGGATAAGTATTGACATCTGTTATACATATGTGAGAATAAAACATGTCGAACTTGGTTCAAAATTTGACAGTAAAGATCGTTTCCTATTTACTTAAACTTATAATATTTACTTCCTACTTCCGACTAGAACTGTTGCTCTTTTACAACATCACTCTTAGAAGTACCTAGAAACTCGTTTTATTTTAAAAACTAAGTTAATTAACAACTCAGATCGTAACATTACAAAGTAATGGTGATTTGTACCTTGGAAAAAGCATCCATATTCCGCAACTTTGATGCTGAAAAGGATAGCTGCAATAGTAAGGAAGATAGAAATAAGTCAGTGCTGGAGATCATATGACGTTCACGACCCACTGGTTCAGAGCTAGTTAGCAACTCAGCATGACAAATGTAGAATTGATGCAACAGTGCCACATACAGATGGGACTTCAAAGTTCAAATTCATACAATACCGAACTCTCCATGACTCCCATGCATGTCCTTTTCAGTTTTCACACATCAAGATCACTACAAGACAATCCAAAACATACAAACGCTCCTAATAAACTGTTACAGGTGTTCTATCTAGCGAGCACATTATGCACATGCAACCAAGGATATGAGCCTAAAATTGTAAGGGGAAAATGCATGAGTGGAGTGGCAATTTATAAAGAGAAAAGGTGTGAACCTACAACTCTTCAAATAGGCATATCTCCATTCCTTATTTCCTTGCATATATTTTTCAGAATAAAAGACAGATTATAATATTATAACTATATTTTATTTTTAGACGGTGTTGAATAAATCTTATGAAGACCAAAATTTTAACTAAATGTTTTAGGTAATGTGTACGACATAAAGTTTATTCTCAGAGAGACACCACACACAAATAGGGATCAAGTTATCAGGCCAAGTTAGTGCTGATCAACACCTGCACACGTCTTATATGTCAGACTCTAGCATATTTGAAAAAGAGATTGATATCTCCCACCCACTCCAACCTATAACATATTTTGCCTGTCCTAATCCATTTGCAGAAACGCACCCACTATTCAATTCTCTATCAAAACAAAATTGATTAGTTTTTTTTGGAGACTTTACAGCTGAAAAACAAACCGATCATCATTTGAGGAACAATATACAGAATAACTGAACATACAAGCACCGGAAGTTCTAATTTCTGAATTTACGGTGAAATAAAAATTAAGAAAATAAAAAAAATGGATGCATGCATGGAGTTTGGGCTAAAAAAGGCAGAACTCTAACATCAAGGAGAAACGCACATTGACGCATGGCTTAGTCCTAATTTTTCAACGAGAAACAGTTCTGATGGGGGCACATTTTCCAAATTAAGTCCAACCACATTCAAATAAGTAATGGATAAATGGTAAAATCGGTTTAGAATTTTTTTTTGATAGTAGGATACTAGGATTTGTAGTTACCGAAAACACGCACACATGAAACCCGGTTCAGACCGGAGCATCGGCATTTTTTTCAAAAAAAAAAAATTCCTTCAGACTTCAAACAATGTTGTTACGGAGGAAAAAAAACCCTCCAAATTGGCACATCAATGTTGTTACGGAGGAAAACACGCGAGTAATCAAAACGAAAAGGACAAAGTCGTAGTAGTAATTCATACGCAAACAAGGCACATTTCCGTCCGCTAATAGTAAGAAATTTCTGAACATCGAGTCCCCCGTCACCTCTCCAGAAACCGAAGCACATTGTCCCCACTCCCCACCAAAACAACCACCAAAAGCTACTACCAAAAAACCCACTCCGCCGAAGCCGATCGCGAACGACGGCAAGTAACCACCGGGATTCCCCCCTCCCCCCAAAAACCCACTGAACTGAACAACTAGGGTTTTCGGGAGGGGAACGTACCTCGAGAGGCGAGTAGAGGCCGCGGAGGCCGGCGGCGTTGAAGAAGTGGTCCACCGCCTCGTTCGCCCCGCCGCCCTGCCCCGCCCCTCCTCCCCCTCCTCCTCCGGTCCCTGCCGCCCCGCGGCCGCCGCTCCCGCCCACGGCCTCCATGCCGCCGCGCACGTCGCCGGACAAGCACCCGCCCATCTCCCTCGACTTCTCTCTCGCCGCGGCGAAAACGTTCGTCGCAGAGTTTGGATGCGCGATTTCGAATCGAATTTGTTTATGATCAAGGCGGATTCTGCAAGCCTGAAGCTGAAGCTTTTTGAAAGTTTTTCAACTGTGGGGAGAGGGGAGTATGGGAGAGGATATTTATAGGTCAAAGCGCGGCCCCACGTGTCAGAGAAATAGATATGCTTTCTCTTTTTTAAAAAAAGGGGGAAAAACGCGGCTGAACTTGAAAGAGAAATAGCTGCGAGAAAACTAGGAAATTTCTTAGCGAAAGAAAGAGGACTCCCTCTACGGCTCTACGCGGATTTTTAAGCTCCTTCCTTATAAAATCCAGAAAATTTTAAAAAAGAAGTACTAATAAATATATACCTAAGTGAATTTGGCAAGATTTTGTCACAGAATTGCACGTTTATGAAAAAAAAAGACGCGAATATTAGGAAATGGTCTAATATCAAATAATTAGAAAATGTGAGGCTTCAAACACAGGTCGTTTGGCCCACTACCTTGTGAAGATAGCCGGAAGACCCCTGGCGTTTCTCCACACGTTTACGAGGCTCTATTGTAAAACTATAGATTTGATTATACTAACATTATAGTAAAATTATATATTCCAAGGTTTATATTTTAGGATTATATAATTTCAAACAAAATTATTACTCCATTTCCCTCAAAATATAAACATAGTTATGCAGATTTGTAGTTAAAGTGTATTATGTTTTAGGATGGAAGTGGTACAAAACTAAAGATTCTGTAAAGCACAAGTATAATAGCTTAATAGTACCTTTACACGAATGAAAGCACTACTAAAAGAGGTGTTGTGGTCTTGCACTGGAGTACTTCTGATGGCAGAGCAATGTTGGCTACAGACATATGCTCCCCAATAAGATGGATTGCGTGTCACAAGATAATTTGGTCGATGGGATCGAAAGTAAATCTCGTAAAGGTAGAGAGGGTTGAGAAATATACTTGTATATGGCAAAGCTTAAAGAGTTACAAAGCTCATTTTAAAAAACGAAGTCCTCTTAGATCTTGTTAGTACAAAATATATATAAGTATATAAAGTAGGAGTACTAGTTCCTCCGTCCCAAAATATAAACATTTTTAAGGATGGCACGAGTATTAATAAAGTATGTGAAAATGATTGAAGAAAGTATGTGATTGGTTGAAAAGAGAAAGTAGGTGAAGAATAATGGTTGTGATTGGTTGAGAAGAAGATGTAGGTGGAAAAATAACTTCATTTTGGGACAAGACACTATGCTAGAAATAGCTATATTTTGACACGGGAGTAGCAGTTATCTCACTGTACAAACTTTTATTTTCTCTTGTTGCTCTGGTTCACCCCCATCAGCTTTAGCACTCAAAATCGAACTTATAGAAAAGAAAAGGATAAATGGAGTTTATAGGTTAAAATGAAGAGTTTTCATCTTCTTATTTTGGTCTGAAATATGAAAAAAAATGTCTCACCCTAGTAATTTTAATCAATCACTAGCTCCAACTCCATGATTCTAACTTAATTTGGCACTTAGCACAAATAGAGTTAAGTTTGAACTTAAAATACGAGCTACGCTTAGTGTTCAATTCTATTATCTTGTCCAAATTTTCTATAAATTCAAGCATGGTTCTGAAATTTGTATGAAACTTGCATGAAGTTTGGATCACATTGTCAGTGTTTGGATAAGGCATACCCAATAGTCCTAGGTTAAGTTTGACGAGACCCACCATATACCGAGTCTTACATGAAATTAAGCCTCGGATACAGAAGGTATCCCGATGCAAAGTTCTACATGGAAACTACAATGACTACTCAGATCGTATCTATATTTGTCTTTCTAGTTTTACTTGGACAAGGGGACATCTGTCGGATCGTATCCATATTTGTCTTCCTAGTTCGACTTGGATCGTATCCATATTTGTCTTCCTAGTTCTACTTGGATAAGGGGACATTTGTGGCTAGGTCTACTTGGATAAGGGGACATCTGTGGGTATAAATACAAAATATCCATATTTGTCTTACTAGTTCTATTTGGATCGTATCCATATTTGTCTTCCTAGTTCTACTTGGACAAGGGGATATTTGTGGCTAGTTCTACTTAACAAGGGGACATCTGTGGGTATAAATACAAACTAAAGGGGATCGCCATATTTGTCTTCCTAATTTTACTTGGACAAGAGGACATCTGTTGGTATAAATACAAAACAGAGGGGACATCTACTAGTTCTACTTGGACAAGGGGACATCTGTGGGTATAAATACAAAATAGAGGGGATCGTATCCATATTTGTCTTCCTAGTTCTACGCATGCAGACAAGAAAACCTACCACCAGGCTACGCTCCTCCTCATGATTGAAAGTAGTTAGTTGTTTATTTATTGGGTTATTGAGCCGCTTTGGACCAGTGGTCCGACCGGTCAGACCAATAAACCAGTGAACCGATGGCCTCACTGGTTCGATTGCTGGTCCGGTCTTAATAACTATGAACCTAGCGCTATGTCTGATCTCGCCGAGTTCATATTCGAGGAGGAAGTCTATCCTGTCATCGACTACATGTGGTGGTTCATGCCGTCATAGGTTATTCCAAATATTATACTTGTGTGATTCTGATGAATAAAAACAACACCGGCTTTAGCCAACAGGAAATAAACTTGTATATGACAAAGCTTAAAGGGTAAGAAAGCTCATTTTAAAAAACAAGGTCCTAACGAGGTCCTCTTAGTTGCTGAAAGATCCCGCCCAGTGCCCCCTTCCTTCCCCTGCCGCCTTCCGACCAAAGAGAGTATACAATTTTGTCTTCAGGACACTCATGCCCGACCGTGAGACTGCCTGTTGAACGCCTGATGGCACCTTGCTCTGACCTGAGCTATGCAACAGTGGGATCCCCCTTGATCTTTGTCGGATGTGCTTGACGGTCCCCCATAATACGCTAACTTGGGGACTTTTTAGTCCATTTTTTCCAAGAGTCTCCGCTAGTTGAATCGCGTCCAGTAGACGACCTCTTCAGCTCATCCCCTTCGTCAGCTCTTATCTTGCCTACAATATATAAGTATATAAAGTAGTTAACTCACTGCACGAACTTTTACTTTCTCAGTTTCTCTTGTGTTGCCTTACTACCCAAAATCGAACTTATACAAAATGGATAAATGGAGTTAATAGGTTAAAATGGAGATTTTTTTTCATCTTATTTTGGTCTAAAATATGAACAAAAAATGTCTTGTCCTCATAATCTTAGGTGTGATTGGTTTGTGGATAAGGTTGGATAGAATATAGCTATCCATATTAGGGATAGGTGATTCTGTTTTTTAATACTTTTAATAGATATAGCCATCTAATTTCTTGTTTGGTTTGATTGATAGGAATGGAATGAATGAAAACAATAACATGTTAATTATTATTAATATAGCCATAATCTATATTAATTAACAATAAAATAGACTGATTATATCTAATTAACATTAGTTTTGATAAGTTAATTACTAATCAATCACAAAATGCATTAATTATTGCTAATCAATTACTAATGATTAAAATTTCCAAAAGATGGATATCCTTGGTCAATTTGGCCGCAACATCTTCGTGGAATATTGTCTCGTCGGACCATCCTATCTACTCTTGCCCACTAACCAAACACACTCAAAAGCTAGATTGTCATCCCCTCAAACCAAACATAATCGATTGCTAGCTCTAAGCCTCTAACCCCATGATTCTAACTTAATTTGGGTACTTATCATATTATCTTGTAGTTCTCTGTAAATTCAAGCATGATTTTAAATTTTGTATGGAACTTGCATGGAGTTTGGATCAAAGGCTTAGCGCTTGAGCCTTATAGTCTAGGTCGAATTCACCTATGGATTTGATGGTATTATAGTTCGTGCCTATATCTATTTCTAAGTAGTATTAGGTTCGGATTTCATGGATTTGTATTTATTTAATGATTTTTATAAGATATATATTTGAGGACACCGAAAAGAACATACATGATACAAATAGAAATGAATGGAGAGTTAACGCGGAGGCTGCCATTCAGATTGCCGCTAGGCTACCGTCATGAGTGGTTAAGAAATGTCACGAGAAATCTGTGTAGTGTGCATTGCCTTCTCTTATTAAGACCACAAACAATGTTTTACTCTCACCGTTTCAGAATGTAAGACTTTCTAGTGTTACCTATATTTATATATATGTTAATGAATCCATATGCATATATATGTCTAGATTCATTAACTTCTATATGAATGTAGATAATGCTAGAAAGTTTTACATTGTGTAACGGAGGAAGTACGTATTAAAGAGATAGATAGATGAAATAAGTATTAAAACTTAACATTTGAAAGGTGGGATATAATTTTCCAATCCATTAGACCAACATGCCTCTTAGGACCTTCGTAATGGAAGCTACTACTATAAGGCTGTGGTCTTCTCCTTATTTTCCTTTTTAAACTGCTTAACAATGCTCTTTTTTTAAAAAAAAAATTTCTATACAAAAGTTGCTTTAAAAATTATATTAATCTATTTTTCAAAAAAATAGTAAATATTTAATTAATCATAAGAAAATACATCGCTCCATTTTACGTGCGCGGGAGGTCCTCTTGAACACACCCTAAGTGACCTCAACATATTACATATACTACGGATGTCCATGCATCCATGTCTCTAATTTTTTTTTAAGTAAATTGTACTATGCACCAAGTGTATCTTAAGAGCGTTCACAATGCAATGAGTTGGCATTTAAGAGCGTTCACAATGCAATGAGTTGGCATTCAGCATGAGCAATCCACGTCCGCAAAACGGGCAGAATCCACGCCACGTTCGTGCTTGGACCCACCAACATGAGGTCCTCGCGTCCAAAGAAGGTCACAAGTTCTTCGGTGATATCGAGGTCACGTGGGGCAGGGAGAGAGCGCCGCAGCCGCACTGTGGAGCGAGTAGCTTCTCCATCGTTGCTCCGCGCGCGCACTCGTCCAGCTCCATGTCTGGCACCAGCCGCCTCGCTCCAAGTCTGGCGATGGCGCCCCACTCCACGTCTGGCGTCGCCGCCCGCTCCACGTCCAACACCGGCCGCCCCACTCCACGTCCGGCGCCCACCTACCTGTGCTTGGACCGCGCCGGGAGAGAAGCGATGAGTGGGACCCACC